CAACAAAGTCTCCAATGGAGACGTTACTGGGCCCGCTCGAGCAAATCGATGATCAACGGGAGGGCCTTTACTTTACTTTTATTTTTAAGATGAATACATGCTTTTTCTTTTATGATTTGGTTTTGGGGCCACACGAGCCTGTGGTCAGTGCTTATCCCTGACTTTGTGCTCAGGAATCACTTCTGGCAATGCTTAGGGGACTCTCTTTGATATTGGGGTGATCACATACAAGACAGTGCCTTAACCCTGTACTGTGCTCAGGGCTTACTCATAGTTCTGTGTTCAGAGATCACTCCTGCTGGGGCTGAGAGGAACATGTGAGGTGCCAGGGGTTGAACCTGGGCTAGTGCCTTACCTGCTGTACTATGGCTTTACCCCATACCCACCCCCATACATGATGTTTACATAAAATTTAATTAATAGTAAAATCAGTAGAGTGAAGTTTAATTTTCCATCTCTCCATCCCCAGTTCTATTTTCTGGAAGTAAAGATTATTCCATGAAAGGGGAACTCCCCCATATTATATATTATATATGTTTATATATATATGTATATATATATATAGAGAGAGAGAGAGAGAGAAAGAGAGAGAGAGCACTGTAGCACTGTAGCGCTGTCCTCCTGTTGTTCATCGATTTGCTCCAGTGGGCACCAGTAATGTCTCACAACAAATTGTGAGACTTATTGTTACTGTGTTTGGCATATCAAATATGTCATAGGTAGCTTGCCAGGCTTTGCCGTGTGGGTGAGATACTCTCGGTAGCTTGCCAGGCTCTCTGAGAGGGACAGAGAAATCAAACCTGGGTCGTCCATGTGCACGGCAGACCCCCTACCCGCTCTGCTATCGCCCTAGTCCATATATATATATTTTTTTTTTTTTACAAAAAATATTTTTTTACAAAGTGAGAAAATCTTATTCAGTTTTGTCTACTAGACACTGCCCCTGTGTTAACACAAAGGTTGTCAGGTGAATCCTCAAGCATTCTTAGGTTAAGAGCAGATCATATCCCTAACCATGCCTTATTTCTGACTCAGGTTTAGGGAGGCTCAGAGCCAGAGCTGTCAGCACAGCCTCCTCCAGGAGCCCCCAGGCCCCAGGCACCACTGTCACCCATTAACATTGGCCAGGCGTCATCCACATGCTCAGAATCCCTTTGCACAGAGACTGTCATTACATCATTTACAAGTGTATTTCTGGGACCGGAGCGATAGTATAATGGGTAGGACATTCGCCTTGTAGGAGGCTGCCCCAGGTTTGATCCCCATCATCCCACATGATCCCCTGAGCACTGCCAAGAGTAATTTCTGAGTGAAAAGCCAAGAGTAACCCCTGAGCATTGCCAGGTGTGGCCCAAAAACCAAACAAATCAACAAATGTATCCCTTATAGGCTTTTAAATTTTATTTATTTATTTATTTTAATAAGAACAGAAATGTGACTTTATTTTTTAATTTTTTTTTTATATTTTTGCTTTTTTTTTTTGGGTCACACCGAGCGACGCACAGGAGTTACTCCTGGTTCATGCACTCAGGAACTACTCCTGGTCATGCTCGTGCCTACCCGCTGTACTATCACTCCAGCCCCAGGCTTTTAAATTTTAAATTTGTTTAAAGAGTCAAATTCCATCCCAGGACACAATTTTATTTTGTGTCAACAAACAAGTTCTGAGCAGTATACACAGAAATGTTTTTCTCAGAGAAAGCCTTTTGTCTCAAGAAAGACCCAGTTTGGGTTTTTTTTTTTGAGGAACTAGTGGGTGAGGTGGAGCTGGTGGTGGTGCTTAGAGGCTACTCCTGGCTCTGTGCTGGGGGGAGGGGGGCAGATATAGTCTCGGAAGTGGTCAGGGAATCATACAGGGCTGGGAATTGCACTGAGGTCAACAAGGCAAGCATCTTAATCCTCATGCAACTCCTGACACATTTCTCAGGAGTGGAATCCAGGCCTCCCACAGGCAAAACCCTTTGCCCTCTTCGCCTGCTCCTAAAATCTTGAGCCTTTCAGTTGAATGTTCTCTTCATTTCAAGATGCTTCTTTTTTTTTTCTCTTTGGGTCACAACCAGCAATGCACAGGGGTTACTCCTGGCTCTGCACTCAGGAATTACTCCTGGCAGTGCTCAGGGGATTATATGGGATGCTGGGAATCGAACCCGGGTTGGCCGCATACAAGGCAAACGCCCTACCCGCGCTGTGCTATTGCTCCAACCCCAATTCTGCTTTTATTTCCTTAAATTTATTTTTATTTATTGATGGTGCTGGGGGTCAAATCCAGTTCTCATGCATGCCCTTTCACAGCCCAGCCTGGCTCTCTTTCTTCCATCTTACACTTTCCCTTTATTTAAAGAAATTTTTAATTAAAAAAAAAATTTCTGCAGAATCATATCTGTCAGTGCTCAGGAGTAACCCCTCGTGATTCTTAGGGGATTATATGTGATGTCAGGGATTCAAACTAGTGTTGGCAGAATGCCAGGCAAGAGCCTTAACCCCTCGACTATCTCTCTGGTCCCCAGGATGCTTAAAAAAAATCTGTATTAGGGCTGGAGCAATAGGACAGTACGTGGGGCATTTGCCTTGCATGTGGCCAACCCAGGTTTGATCCCAGGCATCTCACATGGTCCCCGAAGCACTGCCAGGAATAATTCTTGAGTGCAGAGCCAGGAGTAATCCCTGAGAATCACTGTGTGACCCAAAAAGGCAAAAATAAAAACCCCCAAAACCCAAAAACTTTATTACAATAAAACTGGGTACAATAAAATGGACCAATTTAAAGTATATAACTCAGGGGTTGGAGAGATAGTACAGCAGCTAGGGCACATATTGTAGGGTCCAATCCTAGGCATCCCATATGGTCCCCCAAGTCCACCCGTAGTGATCCTTGAGTGAAGAGCCTGAACACTTCTGGGTGTGGCTCCCCTAAAACAAACCAAAACAAAATCCATAAAGTTTATAATTCAGTCCTAGTCGTCACTCAGTTGTATTGTACTTGCATTGCGTGTGTGAGACCACGGGCTCTATGTGAAGCATTCATGACCCCTCAGGTACCTCAAGGAGTAATCCCCGAGCACTGATCAGGGAGTAGCCCCTGAGCACAGCCAGGTATAGCTTCCCAAATTGAAAAAAAAAAAGTATAATTAAAACTTTTTCACAAATGTGTGAAATAGAACACCATTCCAAATATTGAACATTTCCCATCGCTCCGCAAAATTCTCTCAACCCCCCTCCCAGGCAACTCCCTTCACCCTGTTCTGAAGAGTCCCTAATTTATTCATAGGTTAAACATCATAAGGATGGAATCTTATAATTTATACCTTTATTTTAGGCACCATGATTTACAGTCTTTTTAATGCTAGGGTTTCCTGCAATGTTCCAGCACCACACCCTCCCCCAGTGTCTTTCCTTAAGCCTCGCTGCCCCCTACCCTGGTTGGCTCAGCTCTGTGGACCAGTTCTCTGGTTCTGTTACCTTGGGGCATGTGTTATTGACCTACTGTGGTCCTTTATGGTCCACACATGAGAGAGACCATTCTGTATCTGTCCCTCTCCTGGCTGACTTCACCCAGTATAATCTTTTCCAGTTCCATCAAGTAGTGGCAATTGAATGATTTCATTATTTCTTTTCTTTCTCTTTTGGCTTTTTGGGTCATGCTCAGCAGTGCTCAGGGTTTATTCCTGGCTCTGCCCTCAGGATGCCGGGCATCAATCCTCGGTCAGCAGCGTGCAAGGCAAATGCCCTCCCCGTTGTACTATTGATCTTTCTTATAGCCAAGTAGCACTGCACTGTAGCGTGTTGTCCCGTTGTTCATCGATTTGCTTGAGCGGGTACCAGTAATGTCTCCATTCGTCTCTGTCGTGTGCTGGTTTAGCACAATGGCTTCTGCTCGCTCCAGGAACACGAAGTGAGACTTGTTACTGTTTTTGGCATATTGAATATGCCCACAGGTAGCTTGCCAGGCTCTGCCGTGCGGGCGGGATACTCTCAGTAGCTTGCTGGGCTCTCCAAGAGGGAAGGAGGAATCAAACCCAGGTCAGCTGTGTGCAAGGCAAATGCCCTACCCGTTGTGCTATTGCTCCAGCCAAGTAATATTACAAATATAGTGCAACTGCTTCTCTGATCGTTAACACATGGGTGGTTTCCAGAGTCTGATTACTGTGAGCAGTGCTGAATTTGTATCTTTCTTGCCTGTTTCCCTTCCACACACTGTTTGTGAGATGCACCCAGGCGGTGTGTAATAATACCTTTTTCCCCATTCTTTTTTTATTTCCCAGTGTTCTGTTTATGTACCAGCATCTGTCGGGTCATTTGTTGTTAGACTTTGGGGACTTCTCTAGCTTGGAGCTTTTATAAATGAAAGTGCAATGGCTTTTAGATTATTCCCTAGAAGATTATTCCCTAGAGGTAGGACTTTTTATTTGGGTGTGTGTGTGTGTGTGTGTGTGTGTGTGTGTGTGTGTGTGCGCGCGCGCGTGCATATGTGTGTGTAGATATTTAGGAATGGAAGTGTTGTTATATAGAAAGTATATTTAACTTTGGCAGTGCTCAGGGGACCATATGGGATGCTGGGAATCGAACCCGGGTCGGCTGCATGCAAGGCAAATGCCCTACCCACTATACTATAGCTCCAGCCCCAGAAAGTGTATGTAACTTTTTGCAAGAACCTGGCCAATAATATTCCCAGGGGCCTGTGCTGTTTGTTGTACACTGCAACCAGCAGTGTATGAAATTGCGCCTATTCCGGTTGCTTCTTGTCCTAGGTATTGCCTCTAGTTTGACTTTCTGGTTTTAGTGATCCTCGTGGGTGTGTGCTGGCACCATGGTGTAATTTTAATTTTAATTGCACTCAGTGATGTCTTCCGATAAAGAGCATTCTTGAAATTTTCTTCAAGTTTTCTGTAAGACTATATAATCTGCAGAGAGAGAGAGAGAGAGAGAGAGAGAGAGAGAGAGAGAGAGAGATGGAGTGCTGTATACCCTAATGCTTTCTGTGTTTTTAAATTTTCCTTTAGGTTTCTTTAAAAGCGACTAAAGAGAACAAGTCAGAATGCCTGAGAATCCCGCCACAGGTACAGGCAGCTACTTCTCTCCCTAAATTAATGAATAATTCACGAAGCACTGTGTAAGAGGGATTAATGCATGCTCTGATTATCTTTCTTCAAACAAGATAAACTGCAGGTCCTGCAAGTCCTCGACCGCCTGAGACTGAAACTGCAGGAGAAGGGTGACACATCGCAGCATGAGAAGCTGTCTCTGTTCTACGAGACGCTCAAGAGTCCTCTCTTTAACCAGATCCTCACCCTCCAGCAGTCCATCAAGCAGCTGAAGGGGCAAGTAAGTGGCCGGGCTGCTGAGTTCGCTGAGACTCCACCCAGGAAAGAAAGCACTGTAGTACTGTCCTCCCGTTGTTCATCGATTTGCTCGAGTGGGCACCAGTAAGGTCTCCATTGTGAGACTTGTTACTGTTTTTGGCATATCAAATACGGAAGACTGAAGGAAATAACTAACTATTGTCTATTTCTGATTACTTTTTATTTTAAAATTTTATTTTTTTGCTTTTTTTGGGTGCACTCGGCGATGCTCAGGGGTTACTCCTGGCTCTGCACTAAGGAATCATTCCTGGTGGTGCTTGGGGGACCACCTGGGATGCCATGGATCAAACTGGGCTAGGTCAGTTTCAAAGCAAACACCCTACCTGCAGTACTGTATCACCTTGTCCTATCTCTGAATACTCTTTTATTTTTTTAAAATATTATTTTTTTTTATTTTATTGAATCACCATGAGATAAGCATTACAAAGCTGTTCATGATCGGGTTTCAGTCATACGATGTTCCAACACCCATCCCTCCACCAGTGTAGTTTTCCAGCACCAATGTCCCAAGTTTCCTCCCCATCCCTCACCCCCCAAATTTAGCACTCTTCATTCTGCTGTAGGGACTGATGACCTGTGGGTGGTATTGGCGTGAATAGTTTACAGTGTTAAGAACTTCTGTGTTTAGCTTTTGATTTTTGTTTTATTTGTTTTGTTTTGTTTGGGGGCTACAGCCAGTGCTGCCCAGGAGTTGCTCCTAGCAGGCCTCAGGGATCTTATGAAGTCGAACCCAGGCCAGCCATGTGCAGGGCAAGTGCTCTATCCACTGTATTATCTCCAGACCCTGAAATAAACTTCTTTAAAGAAACTGTGGGCTTTTTTTTTTTTTTGGTTCGGTGGGGGGGGGGGGGTCATACCTGGTGATGCTCAGGGGTTATTGTTGACTCTGAACTCAGGAATTACCCCTAACAGTGCTCAGGGGACCATATGGGATGCCAGGAATCGAACCCAGGTTGGCCACATATAAGGAAAATGCCCCATGTACTATTGCTCCGACTTCTGTTTTTTTTTTTGTCTTTGGTTTTTGGTGCATACCCTGCAGTGCTCAGGAATTATTCCCAGCCCTATACTGGGAATCACTCCTGCTGGTGCTTAGGAAACCACAAATGATGTTGAGAATCAAGTCAGGGTCAGCTACATGTAAGGCAAGCACCTTAACCCTTGTATGATCTCTCTGACTGACCCCTACCCTCAAGAATATGGTTTTTGTACTTATCTAAATACGCGAGAGTTAGATGCTTTGAGAATTCTCAACCATTTAATGAAAATTACAAAATAGGGGACTGGGGATGTGGCTCAGTGGGAGACCGCTTGCATGTCTTCGAGATCTAGCACCACTAACACAATTAAACAAAGCCCCTTAAGGGACGGAAGCCATAGTATAACAGGTAGGGCATTTGCCTTGCAAAAGGTCAACCCAGGTTTGATCCCCAGAACCCCATATTGTTCCCTAAGCTTGATACCTAAGCACAGAGCCAGGAGTAAGCTGTCACCACCACCAGGTGTGGCCCCCGAACAAAACCAAACCCCATATCAAGTGATGGGACCAAGGGAGATAGCTCAGTGCTGGACCACAAGCTTTGCATTTGGGAACTCTAGGTTTCATCCTCAGCAACCAACCAGTGCAGATTCAATCCCTCGCACCACATATAGTCCCTCCAGTCCTACCCTGATTGAAGAACCAGGAGTAGGTTCTGAGCACTGCTGGATGTGGCCCCCAAATTAAAAATAACAATCATAATAATAATAAAACAAAACACAAACAAAAAAAAACACACAAAAACAATGCACACATAGGTCTTGATGCGAATTTCTTTCTCTAGGTCAGAATTTATACTGTAGGAACCAGAGAGAGAGGCAACTAGGGTGTTTGCCTTGCATGCAACCAACGTGAGTTTAATTCTTGGCACTCCATATCATCCCCTGAGCACTACCAGGAATAATTCCTGAGTACCCCTGAGCATTGCCCTGAGCGACACCCCCCCCCAAAAAAATATCTAAGCAAACAAAAAGTGCATCCTAATTTTAGCACTCCCCTCATGGAGGCCAGCTTTCATTATTCCCCAGTCCTAGGATGTGTCCATACTGAAACAGTGAATGTGGTTGGTAGCAACAGAAATCAGGAAAGAACCCTAGAAATGTGTCACTCTTACTGGACAGTGAGAGGACTTAATCTTCCACTCCATCATAATAACAATCTTTATTATTTATAAAGTTTAGACTAAGTTATTATAACTTTAAAAAAAAAAGTTTTACTGGGGGAAGGGAATACCTCCTGGCTCTTGAGGTCCATAGGGGCTACTGTTGGTGGTGTTGGGGGCACTATGCTGTGCCAGGGATGACCCCAGGGCCCCAGCATGCAGAGCATGTGCTTCAGTTCTTTAATCCATCTCCAGGGCCCCAACATAACCATAATCTGTTCAATTATAAAATCCTAGTGAACAACTCTGATTTTATAATTTACATGGGTGTTGATTTTTCTATGAGGTTCTACTGACACTTTGATTTTTACCTTCATTTCACTGTTGATACTCATTTCAGCGAGTAGTTTATTTATTTATTTTTTTGCTTTTTGGGTCACACCTGGCAATGCATAGAGGTTACTCCTGGCTCTGTACTCAGGAATTACCCTTGGTGGTGCTCAGGGGACCATAATAGGATGCTGGGAATCGAACCTGGGTCAGCCATGTACAAGGCAAATGCCCTACCCACTGTGCTATCTCGCCAGCCCCATCAGCGAGTGTTTTTTAAAAATTAATCTCTATTTCTTGTTCCCATATGGACTTCTCCCCCTGCCCCACCTTCTATTCCTTACACATACACATTTTTTGAATTAACATGTAAGTGGCTGTGAAAACTACTAATATTTGATGAGTTAATTATGTTCACAAAATGGAATAATAGTAATAATCTCATAGAACTGTTGTAAGGATTAAATGAGATAAGAATGATCTCATTTAAGAAAAACTGTAAAACTTTAAGTATGGTACTTGGCTCATAGTAAGTACTTAATCAGTGTTCTTAGTTTTGTTTTATTTTACCCAAGGATTTTTGTTTTGCTTCCACGTGGAAATGTACAGATAAATGCAAATGGGCTTGATATCTTACATGTATATGTGATTGCCTAATTACATGTATCTATGTATGTGAGCTTCTGTGAGCTGTCATGCTGTTCATCTGAGGTCGTGGTGGAGGCAGGAAGTAGGAATACTGTTAAGTGTTGCATACATGGGCTGGAGCGATAGCACAGCGGGTAGGGTGTTTGCCTTGCACATGGCCAATCTGGGTTTGATTTCTCTGTCCCTCTCGGAGAGCCCGGGAAGCTACTGAGAGTATCCCGCCCTCATGGCAAGCTCCCCATGGCGTATTCTATATGCCAGAAACAGTAACAAAAGTCTCACAATGGAGACGTTACTGGTGCCCACTTGAACAAATCAATGAACAAGAGGAGGACAGTGCTACAGACAGTGCTACTGCATGCATTTTATTAGCTTTTGAAACATGCAGATTCCTATAACTTTTCCTTATTTCTTTCATATGAATATACTTAGAATGCAAATAATATGCAATGTGCAATTATATATATATATATAATTTTTTTTTTTTGTGATGCACAGGGGTTACTCCTGGCTCATGCACTCAGGAATCACTCCTGATGGTACTCAGGGGACCATATGAGATGCTGGGAATCAAACCCGGGTTGGCCACGTACGAGGCAAATGCCCTACCCACTGTGCTATTGCTCCAGCCCATGCAAAATATACTTAGTAAATACATTTTCTGTTGGTTCCAGTTGATGATTCTCATGCTTTTTCTCAACAGCTCAGCCATTTACCCTCAGATTGCTCGGCCAACTTTGATTTTTCAAGGAAAGGTCTGTTAGTGTTCACAGACAGCGCCATTACTAATGGGAGTGCCCACAGGCCTGCCGCATCTGGGCTATTTCCTTGGACCCCCAAGTCAGGAAATGAAGACTTTACCGCAATCATTCAACAGATGGCTCAGGTAAAATGATATCTTGTTATGAGAATAAATTTTATTGCTCCTGTTTAAGTTGGAACCGAAACCTATAAGTACTTTTCAGTCTTAAATACGTTAGCGGATGTTTAGTTTGCTTGTATTTTTATACTGTCGGGAATAGGAATTGGTACAAGTTTCTACCCAGTGTACTTAGAAATTTATGGCCCTGAAACTGCTTAAGGAGAGTATCTATGTGTGGTGAAGAGAGGCTTTAGAGAATGACTCTAACTTGGCATGTTGCTATATTCATAAGGAAAGTCCGTCTCCTCCTCCTCTTCCTCCCCCTCCTCCTCCTCCTGCACCTCCTCCTCCTCTCCCCGCCCAGGGTTCTTGGCTGCTGGGTGTCTTCAGGCCTGTGGCCGTGCTCAGGGGACCATGTGGTGCTGGGAGCCAAACCCAGCCAAATTAGACAGCATGCTCACGAAGCTAACCAGTAGATTATCCCCTAGACCCTCAAATTCTTTTTTTTTTTTCTTTTTGGGTCATATCCAGTGATGCACAAGGGTTACTCCTGGCTCATGCACTCAGGAATTACTCCTGGTGGTGCTTGGGGACCATACAGGATGCTGGGAATCAAACCCGGGTTGGCCGTGTGCAAGGCAAACACCCTACCCACTGTGCTATCGCTGCAGCCCCTCAAATTCTTTTTTGAGGTGGGCATACTTGGTGATGCTCAGGGTTTAGTCCTGGCTCGACACTCAGGGATCATTCCTGGTTGTATTTGAGGGACCATAAAGGGTGTTGGGGATTAAATCTAAGACAACCACGTGCAAGGCAAATCCTTGCCTGCTGTATTATCTCTCCTTCCCTAGTCTCTCACCCCCAATGTCTGTTACCATTCAGTAACAGGCAGCTGAATTTTAGGTATGTTAACTTTATATTTGCTCACATCATCGGCTAACAATATCTGAAGTAATAAAACTTGAGTTTGAATGCTAAAAAGATTTTAAGGTGTGATGGTTTAATAATATCCTACATCTGTTCCTTCTTTGAAATTATAAATCTCTTCTCTTTATTTGATTAGTGTTTTTGGTAGTAGGGGGTGCACCCAGTGGTGCTCAGGGTTTCCCCCCACCTCTGTGCTCAGGAATCATTCCTGGCTGAGCTTGATGGACCACATGGGATGGTGGGGATTGAACCTGGGTTAACCATGTGCAAGGCAAGCACCTTACCTGCTGTACTATCGCTCTGGCCCCAGTAAGGTAAAAGGTAAAGGTAAAGGCCCTCCCGTTGATCGTTGATCTGCTCGAGCGGGCCCAGTAACGTCTCCATTGGAGACTTTGTTGTTACTGTGTCTGGCATATCGAATACTCTCGGTAGCTTGCCGAGTACTAATTATTTTTGTGCAATACTTTTGTAAATGAATTTTGTGTCAAGAGAATTCAGAAAAATTCAGTGTAAGAAGTAATTTAGAATTTACACTGTCCTCCCATTGTTCATCGATTTGCTCGAGCGGGCCCAGTAACGTCTCCATTGGAGACTTTGTTGTTACTGTGTTTGGCATATCGAATACGTCACGGGTAGCTTGCCAGCTCTGCCGTGTGGGCGAGATACTCTCGGTAGCTTGCCGGGCTCTCTGAGAGGGGCAGAGGAATCGAACTCGGGTTGGCCATGTTGGCTGTGTGCAAGGCAAACGTCCTACCGCTGTGCTATCGCTCCAGCCCCTAGAATTTACAATGGGAAAATTTTTTTCTCAAGAGTTTTCTAATTTGAGTGTTCAGGGGCTCTTGGCCTTGGGTGGGGGCACAATTGGTGGGTTTACTCCCAGCTCTGTGCTTGGTGTCACTCCCAGTGGTTCAAGGGAACCACTTGATGCTAGGGATTGAACCAGGGTCAGCACATGCGACATCAGTACCCTGTACGTATATCTGGTCCTCTCAGGAGACTTTATCCACTTGGGCTTTATCTCCTACCACAAGGAAAGTGTAAAAATACCTCTCCACCTGAGAATATTCTCACTGCTCTGAGTTTGGGATAATCAGGGCAGGCTAAACATTTGCTATACCAAGACCATTCACGGGTCTCCAACCTAGTTCTTTGCTTACCTAGGGCTGGTCTTAGAAATGATGGTGATAAATTCAAAACCAAACTACAACGAACCTCTCCGATTCCCTGAGGTTGCAGAACACTGCATGTGCTGGAACCATAGCACAGCGGGTAGGGCGTTTGCCTTGCACATGGCCAACCTGGGTTCAATTCCTTCGTCCCTCTTGGAGAGCCCAGCAAGCTACCGAGAGTATCCCGCCCACACGGCAAAGCCTGGCAAGCTACCAGTGGTGTATTTGATATGCCAAAAACAGTAACAAAAGTCTCACAATGGAGACGTAACTGGTGCCTGCTCTAGCAAATCCATGAACAATGGGAGGACACTGCTATCCTCTCACACTTTTTGCTCTTCCAAGAATTAGACGGAGACAACTTCCCAAAGTTGTTGATCCCTGTAGTGCCGAGTTCCTTTGCTTCTGCAGAGCTGACTAACGGAGATGCTGGTTTGGTGTTATTTGCAAAATAGCACTTTTAGTTCCTGAGACAGCGTTATGTGGGGCGTACATACTTGACTGGTTTTTTAAAAAAATTTTTAATAGATCTTTAAAAATTGAATCACTGTCTCATTGTATAACTGAAACCCAAGTACAAAAATTTGTAAGTCTACAACTGTACCTCATGGTGTCTCACTGATAAAAATTAAAAAAAAAAAAAACTGAATCACTGTGAGATAGACCCTTTTGCAATACAGATACTGAAAGTTTATCCTGTATCACTTAACACTTAACTCCTGTCCAGCACGATCATTTCCAACTATTATTGCCTTACTGGTCCCTTCTCTATCTTTCCTACCCTCTGCCCCCCCCCACACTTGACTGACTTTTTAAATCCTCCTTCTCCAGGGCCGGCAAATTGAGTATATAGATATCGAACGGCCTTCCACCGGCGGCCTGGGGTTCAGCGTGGTGGCCCTGCGGAGTCAGAGTCTGGGAGAGGTCAACATCTTTGTGAAGGAAGTGCAGCCAGGCAGCATCGTGGCCAGGTGAGGGAGGCGCCTGGTTTTGTGCTTCACTCCTTTCTCCGCTGAAAACATTCTTAGAAAGATCTGGAAACAGTCACAGAAGTGGCTGACCTTCTTCCTAGGCAGGTGCTGGCTGTTTGCAGATGTTCTCACAAAGCCTTAGGGGAGTATCTAGTGACTCTGAGAGAGGAGAAAATTGACATTCAGAGAGACTCAGTGATTTACCTAGAGCTGCACAGCTATGACTACTGCAGCCAAATGTGGGTCCAGCCTGACTCCAAAGCCAGTGCTCTTCCACTTTGCACCCGCTCTCCGAACTGAATTGTTTAGTGTCTATTATGTAGTACAGCCTTACAGCCTGACCATTATGATACAAATATTGAAATTCTGATTCGGCACACTGCACTGTTTTCCTGTGTTTAAAATGATAGCTACTTTTCTGTGGGTTCTTTCATCGACTTCACTTATTTGCAATTAAAAGTCCCCTCAAGTCTATGCCCTTTCCTATGCTGCATTTGTGCCTCTGATTTGTTTTATTTTTAAGGGGCACATGCATAATTTATGTGTTTTGTCTGTTGGATTTGGGTTTATTATTCACTGCAAGGGCATAACATTCGTTACTTCACCACCGCCTGTTAGAATAATGGCAAGAGTGGCAGTACTGTTATAAAAATTCTCAGTCCAAGATATAGTTTTGAATTTACAATTTTCATTCACGGGGAGAGATTGGTATTCATCTCCACACCAAAAAATTTCAGGAAGAATGGATATGCAGGATTTTGCATCTTTTTCCTGCCATCTCATGCAGCATTTCCTCAAGAATATTTTAGAAAACTCTAACAGAGGTTAGAATATGTTTGAGAACCTCTTCCCCATGCTTGGAGATTAGATGTGCCCATTCGCAGTAATCATATGATTTATTGTGTAAATTAAGATCATTCAGGGAGTGAAAAGCTGTGCTATCAATGACGCCGAGGCAGCAGGTATTAATAAAACTATTATTATTTTTGTTTTAGCAGGGATGGGAAAGCCATAGTATGGCGGGTAGGGCACAGACCTTGTATGCAGCTGAACTGGGTTTGATCCCTGGTATCCCATATGGCCCCTTGTGCTCTGCCAGGAGTGATCCCTGAGTAAGCCCTGAGCACTGCTGGTGTCGCCCAAAAACAAAATTAAAAAAAAATCTTTTTTATTGTTATTGTTAATTATGGGGGCATGCATGTCAGTGCATAAAGGTCTGACGTGTCACTGAGCTCGGGTGTCAGAGGTGTTTTGGGGAGCCCGACAATGCTGGAGATTAAACCCAGGTCTCCAGTGTGCAAACCTGGTGCTACCAGCCCCCAGAATTATTTTCCCAGCTGAAAAGGACTATCTGGAAAAACTAGGCCAGCCACAGTAAAGTGGGACTGAGACCTGCTCAGCATTTGCTTGCTATGAAAGAACGATGAAGTCCTTTACAGACAGCCTGCTTAACTTTGATTCCCCCAACTTTTCTTTTAAATTGAAAAAATTATTGAGATGAAATTCATATATCTCAGGCATTGCTATTCTAAAGAATGCAGTTCAGTTCATATTAAGATTTAATGTATTTTTAGTACTGTGCATTTTTTCTGTGGTCAACCCTCATCTCAGTTCCTTGTAGGACTAAGTGTGTAATTATAGATTGGGGATAGTGCTCCCCCAAAGAGGAGTTTGATATGTGTGTGTGTGTGTGCTGAATATGTGTGCGGAGTGTGCTTCTGTACGGAGTATGTGAACAGAGTGTGAGTGTGTGAAATGTGACTGTGTCCAGAGTGTGAGTGCATACGGAGTGTATGAAATGTGAGTATGTAGAGTGATGTGTATGAAATACGAATGTGTATAGAATGTTTGTGTGGACTGTGTGTGTGGACTAATGTGAATGAAATATGAGTATATACAGAGTGTGATGTATATGAAATTTGAGTGTATGTGTGTAGAATGAGGGTGTGTGGAAAATGAGTGGGTTCGAATATGCGTGTGGCATTAGTATGTAAAAAATGTGCACAGAGTGTGAGTGTGTATGGAATATTAGTGTACATGAAATGTGTGTGTAAAGAATATTGAGTATATATGGAATGTGAGTGTGTACAGAGCATGATGTGTATGGAATTTGAATGTGTGTGTGTGTGTGTGTAGAATGAGTGTGTATGGAATGTGAGAGGGTTCGAATGTGTGTAGGGTGTGAGTGTGTATGGAATACAAATGTGTACAAAGTGTGAGTGTGTATAAAGAATGAGTGTATATGAAATGCGTGTACTGAGTCTGACTGTATAAAGAATGTGAGTATGTAAGAGTGTGTACAGAGTATGAGTGTACATGGAACGTGTGTACAGAGTGAGATTGTGTCCGAAGTGAGTGCATATAGAGTGTGTATGTGTGAGTGTATGTGTGTGTGTGTGTGTGTGTGTGTATACTGTGTGCTTGTCCAAGGTTAAGGAGAATGGTGACTCCCGCGGTTGTGGTGCTTGAGGGGACATTTGAGAGGAGCTGGAGGTGACATAGGGCAGCAGGCTCAGGGAAAGTGTCCTGGGGTCAGTGACCCTGTGCAGGATGGAGTCCGTCTGTGTCCTTGAGTGTGGCTTTTGCTTAGTTGCTCTGTGACCTTGAGCGGGATGAGGCTGAACTGAGGCGGGACAAGCCTCTGGGATATTTGGCCTCAGCGATCTGGTCTGTAGGTGGACAAAGGTTGAAGACTGTTGATTAGATCATGTTTGCTGGTCTTCACAATCAGTTCTTGCTTCTTAAAAGGAGCTTTCACAGAGAATGGGTTATGTTAGGTGCTTGCCCAAGACCTGTCGGCTCCCAAAGTCAGAGAAATCCACCATCATCTCTGATGTCCTGCTGGACAGCCATGTCCCCACCTTAACAGGAAAGTGTAAACTCACAACCCAATTCTCAGCCCAGTGTTTGTTCTCCTACACCACATCACCAGGGTGTCCCCTGAACAACACAGAGACAGGTTGAGTCCCTGAGCACCCACAGATGCACCCAACCCCCACCCCATTTTTCAAAATTATAAAAATGTTAAAATTATAGATATAGCTTAATAAAAATTTTAAAGTATAAGAGCACTGATAACCTGAGACTACTAGAAATATCTTAGAATGTTTTCTTGTTATAAGGTCATAAAATGTGGGGCTGGAGCCATAGCACAGCGGGTAGGGCGTTTGCCTTGCACGCGGCCGACCCGAGTTCAAATCCCAGCATCCCATATGGTCCCCTGAGCACCGCCAGGAGTAATTCCTAAGTGCAAAGCCAGGAGTAACCCCTGTCTAGTGCCGGGTGTGACCCAAAAAGAAAAAAAAATTGAATGAATTGAATGTGCATCATTTTATATCTTACTCTTTTTCTGTGTGTGCAGTGATTAGGGGGTACTCCCAGCTGTGCTGGGGAGGAAGTGTGTTGTGCTGGGGATTGACTCCAGGCCTCCTGCATGCTTAGCATGTAGCAGTTCTCTGGCCCCTTTTTCTCATCTCAATATGAATGTTTTTCAAATGCTAATGAAGGAAGTTGAATTGGTATTTTAATACCCCCTAATCTATTTTCAGAGCCACTCACAATTTCAGTACCAACAATTGAAATGGTCAACTTGTTAGCTCCAAAAGAGAATCTAAAATTGTATCATTCCCTCTCCTTAGAAAACAAAGTTTGTTTATTTGTCATGGGTGGGGGGTGGGGAGTAGGGATGGTGGCTAGGCCATATCTGGCAGTGCTCAGGGCTTCTTCCTGGCACTGTGCTCTGGGATCACTTCTGGCAGTGTCAAGGGACCATTTGCAGTGCTGGGATCAAACCCTGGTCAGCCATGTGCAAACCAGGCACCTTACCCCGGTACTATCTCTCTAGCCCAGAAAACAGAGTTTAATAGGGAAGGGTCTAATCATTTCTGGTCAGCAGCATACTTAGCATCCATGAATATTCAGTCGTTGATAAATGAGGGGTTTTGATAGCCTGATAATGATGCTAATTGTTGGGGGGAGAGATTTTGGCTAAGCAGAGTAGAAAGGCATTAAAGATGGAGGAAACCATTTATACAAGAGCAGAAATTCCACATATTTGAGAAGGACAGAGGAGAGCAGAACTGAAAAGGGGTTGTGTCGTGAAAGTTGGAAGTGTACTTTGGGGTCAGATCTTTGCATACCGACCATATTTTTGCTCAACATTGGTCATCAGACATTGCTGGTTTCCTGCTCTGCCTCTAAGTTTTGCTAATCTACTGTGAATGAGGGAAAATGGGGACAATGCAGGAGTTTTTCTAACTACAAAGTTATGAATTAAAGTTCTCTGTTCTGAAATAACTCCCTCGAAGGGAGACCCTTGTGTTTTGAAGGGGGTAAGTGCTCATCAATGGAATAGTCATGACAAGAGTTTGTCTTCTTTCCAATGAGGCCTTTCTTTTTAGGCAAGGAGGATCTAGATTAGCATGCTTTTTTTTGAGTTGGGAAATACCAGCGCAAAGATAGTTTAGAAAAAGTAAACACTGAAGAATTTGCAAGTTCAGTTTTAGGTATTAGATAAGGATCTCTTTCAGGAGCTTGACCGTGGATTAGGAACTGAGGGGATGGGTGGTTGCCAGAGAGATAGAGAGGGCTGAGAAGAAAGAGAAGTGGAGCTCCAGAGACAAATACTGTCAAGCCTGCCCACGGGGAAACCCGGGATAACGTTAGATGCACTTTAACTTCAGAAGTCAAAGAATGTACTGTGGAATTAGACTACTTAGATAAGATGCTAAGATTGTCCAGGGTAAGATTTTATATCTTAAATGCAAATTTTAGCTAAGATTTTAAAAAACAATTTAAAGATTATGAGGATTAAATGAGTTAATGCCTGTCAAACATTAGTACCTGTTTTTAATAAGCACTCAGTAAATATTAGCAACCGTTGAGTTTTTTTTTTTTAAGAGATTTTAGGGGCTGGAGTGTTAGTACAGTGGGTAGGGGGTTTGCCTTGCATGTGGCTCACCCAGGCTTGATCCCTGGCATCCCATATGGTCATTTGAATACCACCATGAGTAATTCCTGGATGCAGAGCCAGGAATAACTCCTGAGCATTGCCAGGTGTGACCCAAAAACAAAAGAATAAACAAACAAAAATAATAGAAAAAGAAATTTTGCTAATTAAAAAAAAAAATTCCTGTGTAAACACACAAAAAATAAAAAGGCCGGCGGTCTGGCCGTTTCCCCACTCCAGGGAGGTCGATGGCGATGGTCAGGCGAAGGAAGGAAACGAGGCCAAGCTGGTTGGTCTTAGCAGCAGTTTATTACATGGAAGAGATGTATGTCATGGAGGCCTCAGGAATCCTCGAGCACGTGCGCCTTTGTTCTCTCCGCTTCTGTCCTCAGCCCCATCTTCCCAGGCTCTCTGATGCACGTGTCCCCCCAGAGAGCCCTGAAATCTCCCTTATATAGATCATAGTACCCCTAAAGGGCGCAATATAATGATGTCATCAAAAGGAGTTACAGAAAGAACATTGAGGCAGCAAACATACATTGTTTCCTTACATCCGCAGGCCAGTAATCCTGGCCTCACCTTTTCACAAGCTACAAGCACTTAGATTAGCACAACAAAGACCAGTCTGCTAGAGCTTGGAATCTACATCTCCAAAAAAGCAGTCTCATCCAAGCTAGTCAGGACACACAGGAAACTGCTTCTAGGACGTGTCTCCTCTCCTTGTCCAACCAACATATAAGCATACATAATATTAATCATTTCGTATGGACACAGTAAGAAATACTTTGAGCTTATAGAATTGCTCTCCTAGGGCCATCTCGATCTCAGACTGCAGTGCTCAGGCCAGATATCTTTCCTATTCCTAGCAGCAGGGCCCTAGTCTTGTCGTTACTTTTGGATCATGACATCATTTGCCTATGATCAAACTCTTAACTTATAGTTAAGAATCGTGGCACCTTGGCCTGGCCCATCGCGATGCCAGGGTAGCACATAACTTACCGGCTTGCCCTGGTTCCATCCAGTCCCATGTCGGGACCCTGCCCTTGGGGTGCTAGGAAGTGAGGGCAACTGAGGCTTAAGTTGAGAAGGCAGATGCCCAGGAGTGAATAACATTCAAAGCCAATCAATTCCTAAGTTACGGAGCATATTAATTAATTGTCTTCCTGTATCTATACAAAAGGACATTGCATTAAAGTAAACTGCTCAAAGACATAAGGAGAGGAGAAAGGCAATATTAACTTACAGTACAGCTTCAGTGTCTAAGAAGGATGAGACCTTACAAATTGGTCGGGGAAGAGAGCATAGAAGAGGTCATAGACAGACAAAGTAATGGGAGTGACTCGGGAGCACTGTGATGGGTACAATCTGATAAACCTAAGCTCCGTGTACTCCAACAATTCCTTTTGAGAAAGAGAATAAAAGGGAATCCCCCTGCCACAGAGGTGGTAGCATGGGGTGGTGGTGGTGGGAGGGATGCTGGGATCATTGGTGGAGAATGGGCACTGGTGGAGAGATGGGTACTTGATCATTGAATGACTGAAATGTAAGCACGAAAGTTTATAAGTCTGTAACTGTATCTCAAGGTGATTCATTAAAAAAAAATAAAAAAAAAATAAAAATAATCCCTTGAATAGCAGTTGGGAGACTGACAATTGAGGCAGAGATAGAGTTAGAAGCAATCTCTGGGTTTTAATCACTAGGTTTTAATTTATTATTTTTGGGGCGTGGGGTGTGATTTGGGTCATACCTGACTGTGCTCAGGCTTACCCCTGGCTCTTTGCTCAGGGATCACTCTTCGTCGTGCTCAGGGGACCATCTATGATGCCTAAGAATTGGGCATGGCAAAGCCTTACCTGTTGTACTATCTCTTCATCCCCTGTTCTCTGGAGTTTAAAGAAGGAGAGTTTTAGAGAAGAAGGATTTGGTCTGTGTTGAGAAAAGTTATAGAAACAAAGCACAAGAGGACAGGGTGAATGGGCTCAAGCAGAGGTGGGGGATGGGTGTGAGTCTGTAGTTGCCCCAGTGTGGTGTAGGCTGACGTCAGTGCAAGGGGTTCAGGAGCCCCAGTCTCCTACAGTAGTGGGTATGGTGTCAGACTTGCAAACCCTTGCTAATGGAGTCCTGTACATCGTGTCTGCTTACCTTTCTAGCCAAATGACCTAGAAAGTATGTGTTGAGGGCCGCACTACCGTTTTGTTGATTAGCTAATCAGCACTTTAGAAGCACTTTGAAGAGCTCTATTACAAAATTTCCAAAATAGATACTAAGTGATCTAGTATCTAAAGGAATAAGCAGCTTAACTTGAATAATAGGTTTTTGAAAATCATAGAGTTGCGGGGCTAGAGAGAGCGCAGCGGAGAGCTCTTGCCTTGCATGCGGCCAACTCAGGGTTCAATCCTTGGCACCCAATGTGGTGTCCTGAGCACCACCAGGAGTGACCCCTGAGTGCAAAGACAGGAGTAAACCCTGGGCACCTCCAGATGTGACCCAGAAACCAAAAATAAACACAAAAGCCAGACAGTGACATCTCTTGAAACCATTTCTTTTTTCCTTATTTGATGCAGGGATCAAAGGTTAAAGGAAAATGACCAGATCCTGGCTATTAACCACACGCCCCTGGATCAGCGCGTTTCCCATCAGCAGGCGATTGCCTTGTTGCAACAAACCACTGGGTCTTTGCGCCTGGTTGTAGCCCGAGAAGGCACCCACGTGACGAACGCTTCCACCAGCCTCCCTGACGTGCATCTGCCTGAAACAGTGAGTTGCAGATTTGGGGAAATACTTTTGTATCTTGTCATTGATTTTTCAGAAGTGGAAGGACATTTAGAGGCTATCATTTTACCTCTCCCAGTACCAGAAAGATGATCATATCTCCAAATGTAGCATTAAAAGATTGAACAAATTATTTTATAGAAGGATTGTTCCCCTCCACATCCCCTTCTCTTTGGTCTTTTCAGTGTCTTCTGGGTCTCCTTATTTAGGATTGTTATTTAAAATAGAGGGACAAAGTGAAGCAATAGATGTAATTTATTTGGTGATGGGAAGTATCTGGAGTTCCTTATATAGCTAGTTCATTAATTAAGGTGAGAGTTTTTATTAGAGATTTACTGTTGAATATTTCATTTACTGTTGAATATTTTAAGCAAGATTTGGTTATTTATTTCTAAAATGTCATTTTAAAAATCATATTAGGTGTTTATAGATGAATTATTGATACTGCAAAACTGCCGGCTTTTAAAATAGAGAGATGTTTCCCAAATAATTTTAAAAAATACATACCTCTTTTTGGTAATCAGTAAAATTTGTTATGTAACATTTGATGGGCTTTGGCCCACATCTTCAGAATGCAAGCTAATAAATCTTATTTTCTTATCACACTAAGTGCTACCTGATTTATTAAATTTTTATTCATTGAGACAAAAGGAAAAAAAATTGACCGAGAACAGTACAAGGTCACAGCACAAATTAATGTACAGACATTTTCCCTATTGCAAGCAGTAAGACTTATACAGCACAATTTACATAATACACAGTGCTCACAGTGCGAAGTGGCACAGCCCTGGGGTAGGCCACAGGCTCTGGAGTCAGGTGCAGGTGGGTTCAAGACCAGGTCATGGGTTTCCTAGCTCTGTCCCTATCACTGGGCACATTCTTTGACCTTTCTAAACCTTAGTTTCTTCCCCTTTTACCTGTGGCTAATAACACCATTGGCTGCACAGAGTTGCCGCGTGGGTTAATGGGAAGGCCAGTAAGGAGCAAAACTCAGTGCTGGTACAGAGCATGTGCTGTGAGCATCACCCACTGTGGCTCATTCAGGCTCAGTTCAGCAAAGTTGATAACTAGATATTGCTGCAGACATGAACTTCCAAGATGTCCTGATGTTTAACATAGGATACTTGTGTATTGCATTGTGGCTCACCAGTGTATTAAGAGGACAGCTAAGTTTGCCCTAATGATCTTGAGAAAGGAATTTAGTGCTTCCGCTGGATTGTGTGAATTAACTGCACATTTTTGATGGAAGACAGCCAATTAGAGAAGAAACACATGTTTGATGCTGTGACTGACATTGTTGTTTATGAAGCTGATCATTTCCTTTGCTAAGAGTCTCCTAAATTAGTCTCCATATTTTCTGTCCTCACCATTTAAATCCCTCACATTCTTTTTTTTGGGGGGGTGGGTGGGAGGGGTTTGGTTTTGGGGCCACACACAGTGGTGCTCAGAGCTTACTCCTGGTTCTGTACTCAGGGCTCAGGGCACCATATGTGGTGCCTGGAATGAACCCCAGGCCGGCAGCATGCAAAGCGAGTGCCCTACCTGCTATAGTGTCTTCCCAGACCTCTCATCCTTCATATTCTGCTGAATTAATCTTCCTGAATCACTAAATCACTGCTCTCCTGTTATATTCCTTTTCTAAAACCTTCAGCTATCCCCACTCATCCTGTTATAGTGACCATTTCTTGAACCCATTTTGTTGTCTTCCTCTGCTTTGCTCTCATAACATCTTTTCACATGATTCTCTTTTGTTTTGTTTTGTTTTGTTTTGGGGTTACACCTGGCTATGCTCAGGGCTTACTCCTGGCTCAGGGGCCATTTCTGATGGGGCTCAGGAGAGTCGACCACTTACAAGGCATGCGGGTTTTTTTGTTTTGTTTTGTTTTGTTTTGGAGGGGAGGGGAGGGGAAATTTGGGCCATCCCAGGAATTGCTTAGAGTTACTACTGGCTCTGTGCTCAGGAATCACTCCCGGAGACCCAGGGGACCATAAGGCATACCAAGCATCAAACCCGGTTGGCCACATGCAAGGCAAATGCCTTATCTGCTGTACTATTTCTCTGGCCCTGCAAGACAAGCATCTTAACTCCTGCATTCTCTCCAGCCCTCACGCCATTGTCTTTATTCTTTGTAGTGCAACTAAAATGTCACTTTGTCCTTGGAGCTTTCCATAATTCTTCATTGGGCTTCACTTTTTGTCTCTGTTTCCCCTCCTCGGCTTTATAATGTTCTGTGTGTCTCTTTTTCATTGGTTGCCACCTTGTCCTGAGCACAGAGCTAGCGGTTGGGCATGGATTTGTCCTCAGGAAGCTTCAGGTTTATATTCTATCATAATTCTTTCTGGTATTTCATTATTTCGGTGTCATTTTTCTCCTGATTGCTTTATAATATTCTTGAGGATAGGGATCACACAATCATCTTTATAGTTCTCTTCACCGTCAGAAAGTATCTCAATGAATAGTGTGACTGTTCCCTTTGTTCTCCTTGGTTTTAGCAATACCAATATGGTGCAAAGGATGTCTGTGTTCTACTAACCGTTGGCTCTTGTTGCAAATTTATAGGTTTGTTGGGGCCATGTTGAAGATGTTGAGCTCGTTAATGATGGTTCCGGGTTAGGTTTTGGAATAGTTGGGGGAAAGTCAACTGGTGTGGTCGTGAGGACTATCGTCCCTGGAGGACTAGCAGACCGAGTAAGTGTGACTTTCATTTTCATTTTGGTTTCATACAATTGAAATGATATGCCTTGAAATGTAATTTCATACCGTGAGTTGTAGGATATATATCATTCCATAATAGAATTAAATTTTTTTTATAAAGTAGTCCACAATATTGATTACATTTAATATTCAAACACAAATCCTACCCCCCCCCCCCCCTTTACACTTTCCCATCACCATATTTCGGATGTTTCCATGCCGAGCCCCAACACCTGCCCCAAAGTGAACTGAAATAATTTATTTTGTATTGTTTGTTATGAAAAACCGCTGAAAATGTTACCAAAAAGTTTCCTTACAGGAAAGAGTGTGAAGATTGTTGCATTTCACTGAGCACTGCTTTTCACTGTTGCATTAAGCCTTTCTATAAGTGATCACTAACATGTTGTTAAAGGTTGAGCCTTGTGTGCTTATATATCTTAACTAGAATTTAAAGAGAGCTGAAAATGTTTTGTCCCTCCAAAAGGTTTGACAAAATACCTTCACTTTGCTTGATTTTTAAGAGTTGATTTTGATTTTGATTTTTAAGAGTTCTTAAATCAACATCCTTGTGGGGAAGGGAGAGGCTGCTTGTGAGTGACCATTTTGTTAATTCCATCAGATGTTTATACAATATATAAATACGAATCACGAAAATCCTGTTGTTCGTCGATTGCCTCGAGCAGGCCCCAGTAACATCTCCTTTGTCCTAGCCCTGAGATTTCTTAAAAAGTGCCATAGAAAAGGCTCTTCCAGGATTAGGAGAATGAGACCCATCATTTTTACTGGTATTTGGCATATTGGGTACACCACGGGGAGTTTGCCAAACTCTGCCGTGTGGGCAGGTTACATTCGGTAGCCTGCCATTTTGTCCAAAGTAAATATAAATACATATTATATTATATATTAAAACAAATATATAAATACATGTTTGTTGTTGTTGTTTGTTTTGGGGGTCATATCCAGTAGTGCTCAGAGATTACTCCTGACTCTTTGCTCAAGGATCACTTCTGACAAGTTGGGGGACCATATAGGGTGCTGGGGATCAAACCTAGGTCAACAACATGCAAAGCAGAGACCCTACCTGCTATACTGTTGCTCCAATTCTGAGGTCAATATTTTTTAATTGAAAAGATTCATTAATTAGTGTTTACATTTTGAATATTTTTATTTCCTCTCATTGTATCTTTCAAGCACTTATATGTTAACATTGGAAGACACAGTGATTAAGATTAAGTCTTATTTCAGTGCTGTATATGTCATATTAAGCATTGGATCCTGGCTTTCAGGATTTTCTGAAGACTAATGCTTAAAATGACATATAATTTAAAGACCCTTTCAAGATTTCAGGGTTGAAATATTTATGAACTACTATTTGCAAGTTTATTAATATAGTTTTAATTTGCATTACAGCTGATCTTGAAGGAACCACCACTTGTCAAGATTTGATTTGTTAATAAATAAAAATGGGCTGAAAGGGCTGTTAAAATACTCTTCCATTTTCCAACTATATATCTGATTGAGGCCAGATTTTCTTTATATACTCAACCAAAACAACATTTCACAACATATTGAATGTTGAAGTAGATTTGAAAATCCAACTGTCTTCTTTTTAGACAAACATTAAAGATTTGCAGAAATATTTTAAATACCACTCTTCTCGCTATTTTTTGTTTTAGAAAATATAACCCTTTAAAAATAAATATAAGCAAATGTATAAAAATATTTGTGCACATGAATATATTGCAAGTATTAATATATTACAAATATTTTAAAAATTTTCGGCTAATTTCTAATTCAGTAGAGATTAAGAGAACTACATAAAGTAAAGCTCTTTGAGATCCTGGGTAAATTTTGAAGAATAATTGACAAATAATAGCTTATGCATGTATAATATATGTAATTGAATCCAGTTTGAAATATGTTTACTGGCCATTCTAGAATTGGTACGGCAGAACAAGTGGGCAGAAAACTCAGATAGCAGCTAATGTTCCTGGCTGTTTTTAGAAGCGTATAGGGCATATTGGCAGGATTTCTGCTATAGTCTGTACAGTGATACAGTGGAATTGCTTCTCCAAGTAACTGGTTTTTGCCCTTAGTGTCTTTCAATGATTGGGTAGAGAGCATTCACACTGTCAGAGGAAATAAAGATTTAAAGCCTGCTGGAGTAAGTATTGATCCCATCTACAAAATACCTTAATAAAATCTAGACTATTAGACAGAAGTCACTGGCACCATAGCCTACCAAGGTGACAGTTTATTTTTTATTTATTTTTTAAATGATTTACTTATTTGTTTGTTTTGCTTTTTGGGTCATGTCCGTTGATGCTCAGGGATTTCTCTTGGCTCTGTACTCAGGAATTTCTCCTGGTGGTGCTCCGGGGATCATATGGGATGCCAGGGATTGAACCTGGGTCAGCTGCATGCATGACAAAAGCCCTTTGTACTGCCCTATCACTCCAGCCCCACAGTGATAGTTTAACCATTAGATTATGTGTCACATTTTAACCATTAGAATATGTGTCACAGCAGTCAAGTTAGTGGACAGGGCTCCAGGAGATAGTCCAGAGGTTAAGGCTCCTGCCTTGCATATGACCAACCCCATTGCATATGGATCCCCCAGCTCTGCCGGGGGTCACTTTTGAGCACAGAGCTAGGAATAGAGCCCAAGTACCACAGGGTACTGTCTCACCAAAAAAAAAAAAAAAAAAAAAAAATCTAAAAACCCATAGCTATGACACAAAAGCATATTTTTTTACAGATTTTAATTTTAAAAAAATGTTTCTAAAGGAATGTGCAGTATTTTGATATCTTTTTCTGAAACCTTCCCTACCCCTTAGCAATTTCAATAAACTTATTTGCTGGAGTAGCATTTTTCAAGATGCAAAGTGGAGTAGTTATTGTAAAAAACAAAAGGAGTAATCAAATAAATTTAGAAAACACCAAGTTAAAAGAAATCAAATAGGTTCCTTTACTGTAAGAGTTTTCTGAGCTTTTAATATCCTAATGTGCATTAAGAATTTTCACAAAGAGAATACAGTGCGTAGTTTCAGATAAATCCCTTTGCGGCTCTGTTGGGAAAAGCCTGGGTCTGATTTTTTACTCTTTTACGGGAAGGGAATGTCACAATTTCAGGTCATCAAGACGCGGAGAGGGGCTACCTGTTAGTCATTTTAGAGAAGCAAATGCTCATACCAAACATAGTTATCTACAGCTACATATTATTAGTGGGTAATCCTTCTACCAGCTGTAAATTTTATTTCAGATTATGAACATGTAAACCATTAAGAAATGGCCTGGGGCTGTGCAGTTAGGAAATGCCAATTGGTAATATACTTCTGTTTGACTCTGAAATCTCGGTCTCATTCCTGAGATTCAGTTATCCAGATTCAATCAAAATCTGTTCCTTTCTCTGATGTCCACCTGTCCAGGAAAGGCTACGGCTCTAGGGAAGGGCCAGGTTCTGGGAGCGACAGACCTATGGAGTTTTCCCTGGAGGGAGTAAGGAGGCTGGAAATAGGGCAGAAGCAGGGAATGGCAGAGAAACCATCACCCTTCTCATGGTACCCTACTGGTTCCTTCCTCAGGCCCGACCCTGTGTGTGCCTTTACTTCAGTATTGTGCCGTAACTCAAGAGGTGACCCTGTATGTGGTACCCTAAGTTCCCTAGTCTGTTATACTCTGTCTTTCTCCGCACATCTGGAGGTGCCCAATGGCCATTTCCAGCTCTGTTCTTAGGAGTCTTCTCTGGCTCTGTACTCATGGGACCATGTGTGGTGCTGGGGATCAAATCAGGCTTTCCTCATGCAAAGCGTATACTCAGCCCATTAAGCTGTCTCTCTGGCCTCCATAGTATTTTCTTTCAATTCCTCAAAGAAAATAGTGTTTATTTGATAAAGTCGCTCTTTTTCTGTCAATATCATGTTCGCTTTTGATTAAAGACTGATGATAGAACTAGCCTGGAATCAAAGCAGTGGTCATTTTTTTCTTGATTATGGAAATAGTTGATGCCATTTTTTTAGCATTCAAAGAAATACACCTAAGGATCTGGAGAGACAGTACAACAAATAGAACTCTTGCCTTGCATAGAGCAAACTAGGTTTGATACCCAGCACCCCATAGGGTACCCTGAGCCCTGCCAGTAGTGATTCCTGAGCACAGAGCCAGGAATTAGTCCTGAACACAGCCAGGAGTGACCTAACCCCCTCCCTCACATAAATACATTTGATAGCTTCATTTCTTTTGTAGTTCATAATCTGAATTTCTCTTTTGTTATTGTTGGTTGTTTTATTTTGGGATGGAGGCATCCATGGTGTTGTTCAGGTCTTAGTCCTGGCTCTGTGCACCTCACCCATTGTACTGTCTCTCTAGTCCCGCATATTGAATTTCTTTAGATTTTCAAAATTTTCCGCACCATTTTTTTGGTATTCAAAGAAATACACCTGAGGATCTGGAGAGATAGTACAACAGATAGAACTCTTGCCTTGCATAGAGCAAGCCAGATTTGATTAGAAATTCAAGATTTTCCGTGCCAGGCTGTGGGGTGGGTAAGAGCCACTACCCAACCACCACCATGCTCCAGGCTGCTTTCTGGATGCTCAGGCAGAGCCTCGTGAATGAATTCAGTCCCACAGAACCCAGATAATGTGGAACTTCATGATCTTGGACTCTGGACTCAACGGGACCTCAGAACAGAGATTCTCTGCCTGCTTCCCCCAGTCTCCAGTGACTCAGGGATCACACCTATAAGCCATACCCTGCCTATACCAGATAATTTCCTCATTGGCCACCCTCCAGAACTCAGGATGCTCCTCCCAGATGGGAATATAAAATGAGGCTCCCAGAACCATGCCACCAGACTCCACGGCAGGATGTGGGGCGGGTGAGAGCCCTCCCCACCCCAAGGGACCCAGCCCCGGCAGCTGACCTTCACTACCCAAGCACTGCCATGCTCCAGGCCGCTTTCTGGACCTTGCAGCCGCGTTGTAAGACACATCTTACCCATTTTCCACAACTACTATACCATATTGGATGGGGTTCAGACAATAGGCAACAAATACATAGAAATAAATATATAAATATATGCCTCTTGTAGAGCCCTGCAAACTCCCGAGAGTATCCTGCCCATACAGGCAGAGCCTGGCAAGCTCCTTGTAGCGTAATTTGATAGGCCAAATACAGTAACGACAACAGGTCTCATTCCCCTGACCCTGACAGAGCCTCTAATCATTGGGAAAGATGAGTAAGAAGAGACTGCTAAAATCTCAGTGCTGGGAGGAATAGAGACATTACTGGTGCTCATTCAAATAATTCAGTGATCAATCGGATGACAGTGATACAGTGATACAGTGATAGAGTTTCAAATATTTTTAATTTAAATATGCATTGACAACAGCTATCAGAGAATTTAGCATGCAAAGTAATATATATATAGATTAGATTATATATAGATATATATATGAAATCTTATATATGTGTATATATGTATATGTCTATATATACATATATATAGATTTCATAGAATACCTATGAAAAAGACTATATTTTATACATTTAGCTGATAACTTGTTAAAATATTTTTTTCTTTAAAATTTTTGTTTTTAATTTTTGGGTCATGCCTGGTGGTGGTGGGGTGCTCTAGGATTTTGGGGACCAAACCTTGGTCTTCTGCATGCAAATCAAGTCCTCCAGGCTTTTGAATAATCTCTTTGGCCCTGGGATTTGGTTTTCGTTTTGTTTTCTAATTCTGGGGCCAAACAGTACAGAGGATAAGGCATTTGCCTTGCATGTGTCTGACACCCTGTTTCTGTTTCTGGTACCACATATGGTCCCCTGAGTACCTCCAGGGGTGATCCTTGAGTATCATCCCAGAGTACAAAATTGAACCCCACAAAGTGTAACTCCAAGCTACCCCTAATTTTTTTAAAAATTAAAAAATTATAAACAGGATAGTTGTGGGGCCAGAAAGATAGTACAAGCAGGCAGCGTGTTTGCATTGCACAGGGCTGACATGGGTTTGATCCCCGGCACTCCCTACGCTTGTTGCCTTGAACCCCGCCAGGACTGGTTCTTGAGAGTGAAGAGCCAGTAGTAAGCCCTGAGAACCACTGGATATTGCGCCCAAAACAACAAAAATAATGATGCTTGTTAGTGTTTCACTGTAATAATGAGGCACTCGTTACAGCACCTGTTTTAATTTTGCAGGCTTCCACTCTGCCTTTTCCATGTGCATCATTTTCCCCCTTTGGCTGATTAAACTTCAGTATTTAAGTATTCGATTAGTGCATGGTGTCTTTGAATTCTGGCATAACTATTTATTGGCTATTGTTGATTTATGATTTCTGTTAAAGAACAAAAAGGACTCCGTGTCTCCAGCTCCCTTCCTCAGGAGGCAGGGTGTGGAGAGAGAATATTGAATAGAAAATATCAGTAAAATGAGGTGTTTGGGGTCACTGGACTTCAGCAAGGTAACTGTCACTTGGGTGACTTTCCTGTCAACCTGGCTGATGACTGTTTTTGCTCTTATGAATTCTACAGAACACCTGTTTTTCTGGAGGAAGAAAATGTTTAACTTTCAGTGACAGATGCAAATTATCCACATCATTTTAAATTGAGTTGAGATAAAATTGGAAAAATGTGGTGCCTCATAAGTGACAAAATATGAACTTAGGGTGAAATGCCCGTCTTGGCCAAGCCAAGTATGAAAAAAATGGCGTCTTTATTTTTAGGGCATATGTTCAGGGCTTAATTCTGTTCAAGGAAGGATTGTTGCACAGACCTTCTTTTTATTATGACTACTGAGTTGCTCTTTCTCTCTTTCCTCAAACACACACATTTGTACACGTGTACATGTGCACACGTACACACATGTGCGCACACACTCACACACACACACACATTAAACTCACTCACATGTGAGGCTTGAGCTCCACACTTGTCCCCAATTTCCTCTTAAGCCGTTGCTTATTTCAAGTTTGTAGCACTGATAAAAATATAACATTAGCTTTTTCTTGCTTTAAAATGGAAATCCAGCAGTGTTTTATTTCTTTTTCCATAATCATTTCCTCACTGACTCTGTACCAGCTGGTACTCAGGAGTCTCTGGGGCCACTGCCAGGGATCTGAGCCACCAAGGCCTGGAGGCTCTGTGTGAGGCCCAAGTATATGGTGCTTCTGGGTCTCTGGTTCCAGGGATACCCGGGTCACCCCAATGGTGCCTGGGGCCTTCCAGGGCCACACTTGCTGATGCTCATGGGTTACTCCTGGTTCAGTGCTCAAGAGTCACTGCTGGCGATGCTTGGGGGACCATGTGGTTCTAGGGATCATACCCAGACCTCCTGCATGCAGCCAGACATTGAGTCTCTCCAGCTTTCGTTTTCAGTCTTTTAAACCTGAGAACAGGAAAGGAGTAGAGTTACCATCTACTAAGGTTACTCTGGAGATAGTTACATTATCTATCTCCCAGTAGACTAAGTGAGAACAGGTCTTTAGTGGGACAACTTGGCTTTACCTTTGTGGATTAAGTCTCTTAATAGGTTTGTAGTTTTGGTCAAACCAGGCAGCTTTTTGGAATCAGTTTTTCTCATTTTAAAATAGTAATTCTCTGAGTGAGATGATATGTGAAAAGTACGTTCAAACTGCACAGAATTCAGAAATCTGCTGATACAAACTTAGTGAAAAATGTAGCTGGGTGTGCTGTTTCAAAAATTTCACAAATGAGAGGTTATCATGTTTGTTTCTTTACCTACCTTCAGCATGCAGTTCTTATCCAGAGTGATCATTTCCAACATGGATTCAAACATGATAACCTCTCAGTATCTGTATTGCAAACCATAATGCCAGAAAGGGGGGGAGAGAGAGAGAATGGAGAGAGAGAGAGAGAGAGAGAGAGAGAGAGAGAGAGAGAGAGAGAGAGAGAGGAGAGAGGAGAGAGAGGAGAGAGGAAGAAAAATGCCTGTCATAGAAGCAGGCTGGGACTGGAAGTAGAGGTGGGGGTGGTGGGAGTAAAACTGGGGTCGTGGGGTGGTGGCAAATGTGCACTGGTGGAGGGATGACTGTTGGAACATTATATGACTGAAACCAGATCATGAACAGCTTTGTAACTGTGTATCTCATGGTGACTCAAGAAAAAAAATTAAATAATTTCACAAATGAGAATAGAATGTACAGGATAAACCCTTTGGCAAGATATTCTTGTTTTGGGGCTGAAGAGATAACACAGCGGGTAGGGTGTTTGCCCTGCACGCAGCCGACCCGGGTTCGATTCCCAGCATCCCATATGGTCTCCTGAGCACTGCCAGGAGTAACTCCTGAGTGCAGAGCCAGGAGTAACCCCTGTGCAATGCCAAGTGTGACCCAAAAAGCAAAAAAAAAAAAAAAAAAGAAAAAGAAAGATACTCTTGTTTTGCTGTGTTTTTGTTTTTGTTTTTTTAAGTTTTTGGGCCATACCTGGAAGTGTTCAGTGTCCTGTAGTCTGTTTTCACTGCAGAGGCCGGTGTGATACTGCATGAAACAGTCAGATAATGTCACTTCTCTGCTCTGTCTCCTCCAGTATACACACCGCAGTGCTCATCCCACTCATTCCTTCATTCATTCCCTTTCATCCACTCTTATTTATTTTTTGCTTGGCCTCTTGTGGACCCATGGATAGCATGCTGTACCTTATATAATCAGCTGTTTTTTGTTCCTTATTTTTGTTTTGTTATTGATTGGGTTTTTTTTTTTTTTGAAGGGCCATAGCAACTGGTGAGGAGACATCCAGGTATCAGTGCTCAGGAGCCGCTGCTGGCTCAGTGCTCCAAGACCATATGTGGTGGTAGGGATTGAGCCAGGGTTGTCTGTGTGTGTGGGGCCTCAGTCCCTGTGCTGCCTCTCCAGCCCTGTTCCCCACTTTTATTTTATTTTTTAATTTTATTATTACTATTTTTTTTGCTTTTGAGAGTCATAACTGACGATGCACAGGGGTTACTCCTGGCTCGTGCACTCAGGAATTAGTCCTGGCGGTGCTCGGGGGACCATATGGGATGCTGGGAATCGAACCCGGGTCGGCTGAGTGCAAGGCAAACGCCCTACCCGCTGTGCTATCACTCCAGCCCCTGTTCCCCACTTTTAGATGGCCTTTTCATTGCCACTTTTCCAGAACTACGAGTCTGAGTCTGAATTGTTTATTACCTTGTGAATTTAGATGCTTTGTTTATCCATATGATTTTGTTTGTTTTCTTGAATTAAAGGATGGCCGGCTCCAAACAGGAGACCACATCTTGAAGATCGGTTCCACAAATGTGCAGGGAATGACCAGTGAGCAAGTTGCCCAAGTGCTGAGGAACTGTGGGAATTCAGTCAGGATGCTCGTGGCCAGAAACCCCATGGGTGAAATTTCTGTAACTCCTCCAACCCCAACATCCTTACCTGTTGCTCAGCCGACTGCAACCCACAGAAGCTCAAGTTTTGTGAGTATTCGAACCATCCTTTTATCTTAAATCAAAGCCCGGGTGTGGTACCATACACAGTTAGAAATACCCCGGACTCTTGCTCTGACAAAGTGAGAATAGGTCTTCTGTGGAACAACTTGGGTTGAACTTGGTGAACTGAGTCACTTAAAAGGTTTGTGGCGTCGGTCACTGCGTCCCACGAGGGACACGAAGAGTTTCCTTTTGGAACAATGAGACCCGTTTTTTCTTTCTTTTGGATTGATGCTGAACCGTGGGTCAGTCAATATCCCTGTGTCTCAGCTACTCATCTCTAACCTGGAGAAGGCTACTACTGACCATTTCTGATTCATCAGCTGGTGAGGAGAAGCCCAGGTGGGAGAGAGGAAACAGCAAATATTGTCCATGTTTGAGAGACTTGCCAGTGATTTAGAACAAAGTGGCCAAATGGAATAGAGGCCACAGCTATAATTGATAACAATCATAATTATCCTCAGCTATCATTGTCAAACATCCACTATTTTCCAATTTGTTGGAATTCTCTGGAGTTATGCAGGATAGGACTTCTCTCTGTCAAGATTAAGATGTTAGTAAATGAGTAGACGAAATACAAGGAATTCACTAAAGGATAGAGATGGAGTAACTTTAAAGTGCTATTCTTTGAATCCTTTCCCCTCTGGTTTATTTCATATGCTTTTCAACTTTCTCATGGGCTCTGGATTCAAGAGATGAAAGTAAATAGTTTTCCAAAGGAGGGGTCAGAAGGAAGAGGAAAGAAAAGAAGAGTTATTGTGGTTAGGTAGAACCCTACTGTTCCTCTTCATCTGAATCTGTAGGGCTGTTCCATGTCTTCTAGAACTTGTTTGCTTTTCTCTACTCAGCTCCCTATGAGTGGATGTTTTCTCCCATACAAGTACTAACCAAGTCCAACCCTGCGTAGCTTTCGAGATCAGACGAGAGATCGGGTGAGGTCAGGGTGATAACGGTCCTAGACTGAGTGGACGTTTTCTTCTGAAATATCAGAATCATTTTTTTTTTCTCCTCTAAAACTGTTGCACAACCATTTTCTCTTTCCTATCCTTTACTCCAGGACTCTGGAACCTTCTATTTTGTAGTGAGAGGCCATGGCGACAGCATGATGAGAGCTGAAGACATTCAACCATGTGCTTTCTAATGTTAGTGTTCTGAATTGAAAGCAGGGTGCTACATATCTAGACACCTTTCTCTTTTACAAAAATATCCTAAATTAGAATACAAGTAAGAAAAATAAGTTTTAATTCTGTGTGGTTTACCCAAATGATTATTCATAATCATTGGACTTGGACTTACTTTTGTTTCCATAATTTTCTTTACGTGTAATTCTTCCAGATACACACTTATTTTGAGAGTTTTTATTTTTATGTGATGATATTCACTTTCTATCATTATGTAACAACTTAGTAGCTTGAACAAAACCCTGTGTTAGTCCAGAGTTCTTTTTCTTCGCACCCCCCGGCCCCCACCAAGAACAGAGTTAGGTTAGAAGTATGGGTGGTTTTGACTGGGCTCCATGCTCAGATTATTTTGTTTTTTGGATCACCTTTTGCAGTGCTCAGGGATCATACCTGCAGTGTGTTCAGGGGACCAAATGTGGTGCCTTCTCTTAGCTATTGCAAGGCGAGTGCCCTACCCACTGTACTATCTTGCGAACTCTGGATACTTTTAAGACCAGAATCAAGATGGCATCCCATATGGGTTTGTGTCTATATGCTTCCGGTCTAGTCTGTTTCTAAGTGCATTTATATTGTTGACAGAATACAGTTCCCAACACTGTTGAGGAAGTTTAGACTGGAGTCTCTTCTTTTTTCGTCTGTCAGCTAAGTATTTCTTTCAGCTTCTAAAGGCCTGCTAAAATTCAGCCTCATCTGCCCCACTTCTTCCAGCCCAAATCTAAGTCTGTTGTGTGCTTCAAATCTTTTTCACTTACCAAATTCTGGCAGCAGCAGAAGAAAGCTCTGCCTTTGAAGGGTGAGATCAGAACCACCTGCATCATATTCCTTTTACCGCATCACATAACATAAATACCAGAATAGTACCAGGGGTCAACAGTCAGGACCATCTTTAAATTCTGTATTTTTTACAGGTGCTGATAAAAATTCTTGATTTCAAACCATACACATCTATCTATACACAGTTATGAAATGATATATCATATATAACGAAAATTATTTTTTCTTTAGGATGATTTTACTCTTTCTGAAACTTACGATGTTGAACTCATTAAAAAGGACGGACAAAGTCTTGGAATTAGAATTGTAGGCTACATTGGAAACTCTCATACAGGTAAATGAGTCGTTTCTATTTTATATTTGGAAATAATTGCAAAGGAAGTTAAGGTTTCTTGACAGAAAATTAAATATCTGCAGATTTTAATTTAAACATTGAACAATAAAACCATGAATCCTTAATAGTAACCAGTTACTTTTCAGTGATTAGAAAGCCACTGTCTTATCTCACTAGTTTTATAGCTGCCTTGATAGTTATCTACTAAGGAATTTAACTGTTTCACAACTCAGTGAATAACATCTAAATTGCACCTCTTCTGTCTTTAAAATAGACATATTTTGAATTTTGTAGTTTCCTTATTCTGTCGTTCTACGTGTGATGCAGTAAAGTAATTTCTATGTATATTTGATATTGTAAACTGCAAAAAAAAAAAAGGTACCATGTTTATGGGGACCATAACTTAGCCTCTGCTAAAGTTCCTGCCTTGCAAGCTTTGACTTGCAGAGCTTAAAAAGGAGCTCAGAAATTCCATTCCCAGCACCTCCACCTGTGCTGAGCATCATCCCAGCGTGAGCGTGCCTGATGGCACTGCTACCGACATCCCCACACGGGAAATGGATTTTCAGTGCCGGAAATGGTTTTCGGTTGCATAGCAGCCAGGTGTGTGCGGGCACTGTGGCTGCAGAAATGGGAGCACCAAGGTCAGGAGTGCACACCTCCCCCAGCCAGCACACAGGTGACGGGCACAACTAAAGAACACGTGTGCTAGCATCTAAGTGAAAGGAGAGTGAGTGCCCCGAGAAGGGGGACCATATAGGATGCTGGAGATAGAACCCCAGTGGTCAGCTTGCGAGGCAAACACCCTACCTTCTGTATCTCTGTGCCCTTCAGTGACAATTTGTATTTATTTTTATTTATTTATTTGCTTTTTGGGTCACACCCGGTGATGCACAGGAGTTACTCCTGGTTCATGCACTCAGGAATTACTCCTGGCGGTGCTCAGAGGACCATATGAGATGCTGGGAATCCAACCTAGGTCGGCTGCGTGTAAGGCAAACGCCCTACCCACTGTGCTATTGCTCCAGCCCCCAATTTTTACATAAATGAAATACAATAAAAGAATACAGGCATTGTCAGAATAGTGCTCCTCAGCTACTTGCAAAGCCTTGGTAACTCACAAAAAAAAAACCCCTCTATTTTTATTAGAAGAGTCTTAAGGAACAGTAAATGCATTTTACAAATATTTGCTAGCAGCATAGAAATTCACTACTGTAATGTTCTGATGTTTTAAAAGTAACAAGACTCAGGAGTTAATTTTTTTAATAAAAAATTATTATTTTGCATACTTAGAGCAGGTGGAAAGATTTAGTGTGCTAATATATTCAAAGTCCTGAATGAAATTCATGTCAGACCACCACCTTGTGCTATTTTAGCCTAATGAAATAACTGTTTTCCACCCTTTAGGTTTTTCTAAGTGTCACCTTTTTTAGGTTCAGAATTTAAATGAGTTCCAAAAGAACTAAGTATGGATTGTATAATAATGTTGCAGAAACTATATTGAGTAGCTGTTAGTATGCTGTCTGGTTGGAGAAATTATGGCAAAGTTCCTAAATTTCTGCCTTATAAACTTTTATCATATTAAGTTTTCAAGGTCTTCTTGTGAACCTAACAATATATATGCAGAGCAAAAGGAAAATGAATAACAGACTAGAAAATTTGATGCTGGTGCTGCTGAATAAAAAATTATTTCACTTCTTGAGATTCAAAAGAAGTTTTGGGGAATAAGTAGTGGGCTGTGATAAATCCCTAAACTAGAATAGAAAGTACATATGCAGTGGGGCTGGAGTCATAGCACAGCAGGTAGGGCATTTGCCTTGCATGTGGCCGACCCAGGTTCGATTCCCAGCATCCCATATGGTCCCCTGAGCTCCACCGCTAGGAGTAATTCCTGAGTATCGCTGGGTGTGATCCAAAAAGAAAAAAAAAGAAAGACAGAAAGTACATATGCGGGCTGGAAAGGTAGTACAGTAGGTAGGGCACTTGTCTTACGTATGCATGACCTGGGTTCAGTCCCAGGCTCTCGCATATGATTTTTTTTTTTTTTTTTTTGCTTTTTGGGTTACACCCGGCGATTCTCAGTGGTTACTCCTGGCTTTGCACTCAGGAATCACTCCTGGCGGTGCACAGGGGACCATATGGGATGCTGGGAATCGAACCCGGGTTGGCTCCGTGCAAGGCAAACACCCTACTCACTGTGCTATTGCTCCAGCCCCCTCGCATATGATTTCTTGAGTGCAGAGCCAGAGGTAAGCCCTGAATTTGGTTGGGTGTGGCTCCAAAATTAATAATAATAACAAAATAGCTATGACATTTAAGTTCCTCACATTTTTTGTTGTTGTTTGGGGGCAACACCCAGCAGTGCTCAGGGATTACTCCTGACTCTGTGCTCAGGGACTCAGATGAGGTATTAGGATTGAACCTGAATCATTTGTGTGCAAGGCAACTACCTTACCTGCTGTGCAATCTCTCTGGCCCCTCTTTACATATTTTTAAAGGATAAGTGAAATGTTTTTGCAGAGAGACAAGCAAAAATTTTTCATACGGTGGATTCAGTTTGACAGAGGGAAATAGAGAATTCACCAAAAAAGAAATGTTTGTGTTAATTATGGGTGGAAAAGGGTTTTGATAGAGACAAGGTTGACTGGGAAAAGAAATCAAATTAAATAAAGCAATAAAAATAAAATTGGTCTTTGGTGGAAGAGCAAGACTCTCAAGAGCTGGAGCAATAGTTCAGCAGGTAGAGTGTTTGCTTTGCATGCGGCTGACACAGGTTTGATCCCCGGCATCCCCTATGGGCCCCAGAACCCTCTGAGAGTGATCCAAGAGCACAAAGCCAAGAGTAATTTCTGAGCACTGCTGGATGTAGTCCGAAAACAGAAAAGAAAAAATAGAATCTCATGTGTCAACCTCTGTTTTGTTGAAAGGATGACAGTGAAGTGAAGTGAAATGTCTGGGGGAGATTATGGTTATCATGAATGGTACTGGTGGGATTTGCTGTTCTGTGTGTAGTCACTGGGAATCCAGTGCTATTTTTACACCAAAGATGATATTTTACTCTTTTTTTGGCTTGTTTTTTGCATCACACTTGACAGTACTGAGGTCTTTTTTTTTTTTGGTTTTTTGGGTCACACCCGGCGATGTACAGGGGTTACTCCTGGCTCTGCACTCAGGAATTACCCCTGGCGGTGCTCAGGGGACCATTTGGGATGCTGGGAATCAAACCCGGGTTGGCCACGTGCAAGGCAGATGCCCTACCCACTGTGCTATCGCTTCAGCCCCAGTACTGAGGTCTTACTTCTGGCCCTAAACTCAGGGGTCTCTCCTATTTATGCTACGGAGACCAAAAAGAGTGCCAGGGATCAAACCTGGGTTGGCTGCATGCAAGGTAAATGCACTACCTGCTGAATTACCACTCCAGCTCCGTTCTTTCATTTTTTAAAAATTAAAAAATAGAAACGTAGAATCCTGCAATTACATTTTTCCCCAATTTCCCATCCAGTCTTTTTCCCTTAGTTATTTCCCTGAATCATAATTGTTTTAAAAGGTGTGCTTTTTAAAATTCATTTCAGTGTAAATGTTTTAATTTGAAAAATAAAGGTGATTTCAGGTGGCTGAGACAGCTTGCTTTTCAAGATCACGCATCCTTTGCGCCCACATGTTTTGGAGCCTCCCATGAGCAGTGAATTAAATACAGCAGAAAGACTTGCTAAGAGTCTAGTCACAGTGCGGATGAAGATGATGAGGACTTCCACCAAGTCATTGGTGACAAGGGAGATGACCAGGAAAAAGGGCCCGGTTTAGTTGGGCTCTTTGGATTCCACCTTCTGCAGCCATGCTTTTCATCAAGTTTCCATCACTGATTATTTTTTCCAGAAGAGTAGTCATCCGTCAAATCACTTGGAATTCAGGTGGCTTGTGATGGTGACAGTTTGAAATAGTCCATCAATTTATCTGCTCATGTTCGAAATAGTGTTTGTCAAGGCTGTAGTCAGCCCTTTCGCTAATTAACCTCTTGATATGAATTTTGCAATCAAGGCCTAATTAGAGCTTTCTTTCTTTTTCCATATGTTCTGTGCACCGTAGGGGAAGCTTCAGGGATTTATGTGAAAAGTATAATACCTGGCAGTGCTGCATATCACAATGGTCAAATTCAAACCAATGACAAAATAATTGCTGTAAGTAACCACCTTCTATTTTAGAATGGAACCTAGTTGAGATGGGGGAGGGGAATGATTTTATTACAATATTTTTGTATGAGAGAGAAATGACTTACTATATAGTCTTTTTTTTTTCAAGTTGAATCACCATTGACCTACAGTTACAAAATTTTTATGTTTGAGTTTCAGTCATACAGTGATCAAACACCCATCCCTCCACCAGTGTACATTTTCCATCACCAGTTTCCCCAGTATCCCTCCTGCCCCTCCCCACTACACCCCTCCCCCTGTTTCTATGGCAGTTTCCCTCTTTCTCTCTACTTACGGGCATTAGGGTTTGCAAAACAAATATTGAGAGGCCATCGTATTTGGTCTTTTATCTACTTTCAGCACACACCTCCCATCCTGAACTATCCCTCTAGCCATCATTGACTTAGTGGTCCCAGCTCATAAGGCAGACTTCCAATCACAGAGCAATCTTCCTGGCCCTTGTCTCTTTTAACACCCAAAGACAGTAGTAGTCTCTTAAGGATTTTTGCGACTAATCCCAGTTCAGTGTCGGTGGGGAAAGGCTGGGGATTGGGAGGAGGAAGGTTAGGGTTGCTCCTGGGAGTGCTCAGGGGACCATGTGGTGTTGGGAATCGAATGTGTCCTCTTACAATGCAGAGCATATCCTCCAGTCTATTGACCTATCTCACTGGCCCCTTTAAAAGCTTTGTTTCTTGGTATAGTGAAATCTCATTAGTTTGGGTGTAGCAGTCCTATTTTCCCTACACTCTCTGTAAAGAAAATTTGCTAATATATTGGCAGGAGAAGAATATGTATGATATTTACATATATTGACATGTCATATATTTAATATATGAACATATTTATTTGGAGACTTTGTTGTTACTGTGTCTGGCATATCGAATACTCTCGGTAGCTTGCCGGGCTCTATACCACCTTACTCTGCCCTAATGATCACCTTTAAGCCAATTGTGAAACATTTATTTTTATTGAATCCCAGCTCGGCAGAGCCTGGCAAGCTACCCGTGACGTATTCGATATGCCAGACACAGTAACAACAAAGTCTCCAATGGAGACGTTACTGGGCCCGCTTGAGCAAATCGACGATCAACGGGAGGGCCTTTACCTTTACCTTTTTATATTTATTTGAAAGTTATATGTCACTTTCTTCTAGAAAAGCACCTTTTCAGCACCTCTTTTTGTTCTCTGAACTCATTCACTTTTTATTTAATTAATACATGATCTGGTATCTCATCCGAAACTCTCTTTGTGAAATTAGCTTTTCTACTGACAGATGATTTGGTGGGGGTGGGATTGGGCAGGGGTGATGGATCATGTCTGGAGGTGCTCAGGGTTATTCCTAGCTCTGAACTGTGCAGCGTTTGGGGAACCATCTGCAGCGTCAAGAATGGAACTGGGGTTGGCCACATGCAAGGCAAGTGACTTAGCCCCTGTACTATTTCTCTGGCCTTCAACTAAATAGATTTTAAGAACATAGAAAATGGAGATATTTGATATATTTGAGAATGTAATGTTCTCCTTTACCCATATCAGATCAGTCTTTCCTTCCTTTAATAGAAATGAACTCTACACCTACATATACACAGATTTAATTTAGTGAGTTGTATCAAAACAAGTATTTGTTGGCATAATTAGAATCTTCAGATTTGTTCTGCAGATTGAATGGGTGTGCCCCTCCATCACCCTTGGCTCTTACATAACTGGGCACAGGGAATGTCTTGTGACTTACAGAGTTTGGATGTCAATAGTAAAAGTAGTTGCTTTGGAGAAAATACAGGGAAAGCTAAAGCAATGGCTTGGCTAGCTACGCTAAATTAATTAGACTTCTTTCTTGTACAGACTTTTTCAGAACTTGAGAAGAGCTAATAGAGGGAGATCAGTGTATTTCTTTTGGAAAATAGTACAAAGTGCTAAGATAAAGAGATGAAGGATTGGATGACTTCTTCAATTTTGATAGTAATGGATTCAATGAATCTTTCTTTGGAGCTCTGTATAACAATGGACCATCTTTTATAGCACTTTGAATTTTTAATAGCATTAGAGAATAATTTCCTTAACTCTCTGAGAATGTTTCCTAAAATACGTGATTTAGGAGCTCCAGTTTGAATCTGATTACTGGGTTTTCAGGAAGTCTTATGAGCTTCTTTTACTACTAGTTTTGCATTATTTTAAAATACTTTCTTGGAGATTATAAATTATTGGAGGATAAATGAATTACTTAATTGTATTCTGCCTTTCCAAAATTAATACTAGTAGCTAACTTGAAATGTCTTTGTAATTGTGTCTAAATGTTTTAGGTCGATGGTGTCAATATTCAGGGCTTCTCCAACCAGGATGTTGTCGAAGTTTTACGCAATGCAGGGCAAGTGGTCCACCTCACCCTTGTCCGAAGGAAGGCTCCGTCTTCTACTCCTCCTCCTGAGCAGTCCATGAAGAGAGGTAATTAATCTCTTGGTCCCTCTGCCTGCCTTCCAGCTGGTTGACCTTTGGAAGAACGGCTCACTGATAGAAGTTGCTCTGGATCTGGGTGGTAGAAATGGCCCATTTTGTGATGTATTGATGGAGAAAAGAACCAACTCATGAGCACGTTGGGAATTTTTCCTTTGCCTCTCTTACAATGTGTCAGTCCAAATGCTACATCAGGAATCCTGACACACATCAAGCACTCAGAGCTTCTCTGCCTGAGGTTAGAGATCACTTTGCCCTAAAGCTTCTTGCTTTTATTACTGACATGTGAAGCAGTTTTGACACCTTTTGTTCCAGGGGCTCTCTTTGTCTAACGCTTTGACATTTTGAAAACATCAGTTTTCACATCACCTTTAATGATTATCTTTGATGTCCACGTTTCTTGATTTGCTTTTTTGGATTATAACAAGAGAAAATAAAATACTGATTTTTATCAAGCACATTTTTACTTGTAAAATAATTCTGATTATTTTGGTGACCTCAATGGTAGAGTTTAATTACAGCACAAATACCTAACTGAATTACAAAGCAATTTTTAATTAGCAACTTATAAGGAGATCAGCAGCATTTGACAGTCATGTGACTACCTGGTAAATTTGAAATGAACGACTAGTGATAGGACTAGTGAGTAAGAAATAAGCTAGTGCCATAGGATGAATTCACCGTTCCCCTTCTCTGAAGCTATGATAAGTTCACACTGCTTGGCTTTCAACCGATGCTGATTTTTATTTAAATGGTAACTTTTTAAGTTTTATGTGAGAGTAGAACTGCTGCTGTGAGCCAGGTGCCCTGTCATCTACATTGTATGTGTGACATTTAAAATGGCCCAAATAGGCTTGCTCTCCAAGCCCGTGTTCTCCCTTGAACATGGGTCTCATTTCCTTGTCCCTGTGTTCCTTTGCTTGAGCATTTTCTCTCTGGAGAAGCCCATGTTCTCTCTTGAACATGTACTTCTCTTTTCTCCCTCTCCCCTCATGTCTTTCTAAATAAGTTGCAATAAAAACGATCTTGCTTCACCAAAAATAAGTAAATAAATAAATAAAAATTAATTAATGAAATAAATGGAATGGCCTAAATAGTACAAATTGTACAAGTACTCGCTTGACCTTAAAAGGTTTCCATAAATATTTATATCAATAGAATGGTTTTTAATAGCTCAATTAGAGAGCCCTTGGCTTCAGTAGACTGTATCAAATAAAGCATGTCATCTGCAAGTTAGCAATTCTTCACTGGGCATGTCTGCTTTTAAAATTTGTGTAGGGGCGAGTTTGTTTTAACTCTGCACCTTCTTTCTGTGGTTTGGGTGTCCTTCCCACTTGCCCTAACGGCACTTCTGAAGGGAGGGCTGCTCTAGCCGTTTCCCACAGGGAGAATCATCTCAGCCTTGTTTCCTTCCTGTGACCCCTCCTCTCCCATCCCAGTCTCATGACATAGCCCCTCATTTGTGCAGTTTTCACATGTGGCCCCCTTGGAATATCCTGGTGGCCCACAGATGCAGTTGAGAAATGATGGTGTTCACCCATTTATCATACTACATCATGGTATCCCACGATATGTGTGTTCATAATCCCAGGTGCATTAACCTCTGCCCCATGGTGGAACATATGTGTGCCTTTGGTACAATCAGCATTTAATTTTACTACACCAAGCTGAGTAACTTCTAGCTGTTGTGTGATAACCTCCTTTATGATTCTAAATTCTACCGTCTTTTCCTGCTCTATGCTCTTTAAGATGATTTCCCTACCCTGTGTTTAGTATTTGCTGCAAATAAGCACGTCATGTACTGTAGACAGTTTGTAGTAGAATTTTCGCCCCAGCAACCCTAGCTGCTTTTGGTTGGCATTTCTTTCGAGTTTAATGTACACTAGCAGATTATTGATCCAGAGAATCCCAAGCAAAACAAATACTATGTAGTTTAAAAGTCTCATGTGAAGGGCTGGGGAGATAGTTCAAAGTGCTCAGGGCTCAGGAGTGACCCTGATGGTCCTCGGGGGAACTATAGGTGGTGTCAGGGATGGAACCAGGGTTGATGCAAAGCAAGCACCTTAACCCTTGTACAATCCCTCAGGCCTCCAGCTGGCATTTTATTCGATTCCTCTGCCCCTCTCGGAGAGCCCGGCAAGCTACCGAGAGTATTCGATATGCCAGACACAGTAACAACAAAGTCTCCAATGGAGACGTTACTGGGCCCGCTCGAGCAAATCGACGATCAACGGGAGGGCCTTTACCTTTTATTTATTGATTGATTTATTATTTTTTGTTATATTTATTTATTGAATCACTGTGGGAAAAGTTATAAAGCTTTCAAGATTAAGTCTCAGTCATACAATGATCAAACATCTTTCCCTTCACCAGTACTTATTTTTCACCCCCAAGAACCCCAATATACCCCCCTCCCACCCCTCCCAATGCCTGTGAGGCAGATGATTTCTACTTAACTCTCTTTCTACTTTGATTACATTCATTATTTTGACAAAAGATGCACCATTATTGTTTAGAATTTCCCCCTAATAATCAGAACTGCTGAAAAGGTGTTGTGAAATAATTTGTTTTCTATAGCTGGTTATGAGGACCATATGATTTTGGATTTCTGATATTTTACTAGGTAAGTCTGGAGGGATTTCTGCCAAGAGCCAGATAATTACGAGATATGGTTTCTGTGCATCTGGTTTTATGGCCGTGATGGAGAGCTGCTCATGGGGGGTAACTCATGACCTCGGTAGGGCATGAAGGATGAGCCGGTGCCGCCCCCCTTCCCATGAGACTGTAGTTGCCTCGTCACCACTGGCTCATACCTGGCTTTCCAATAAGCTCTGAGGTGGCGGCCACCTTGCTGCGGTGGGGGGGGGGGGGTGGGGGAGGTGGAAGGGAGCAGCAACACCCTTTCCCTCCCGGGTAGGCATGGCGCTGTAGTTTAACGCATAGTACATTCACTTTTCTGCTGCAAGCTGCCGGACTCTGGATTAAGTCCTTTTGCTTCTGGAGCCTTGGCCGTGCCGGAGAGCTGCTCATAGGGGGCCACCAGCTGGCATCTTAAATAAAGGAATCCTGTGTTCATGACCAGAGATGTTGTGAGGGAATTGTGCAGTGGGATAACAGCAATGGAACAAAATCCTTCAGATATGGTCTCTGTTACTGTCAAGTCAAGCTAGCAATTCTCATTGTAGGCAGTGCCACAGAACCTCCGAAAACACCAACTCTCTTTCTAACTGGAGCAGTGGAGACTGAAACTACTCTGGATGGTGAGGAGGAAGAGGAAACTGAAGAAAAAATGGATAATCTGAATATGGACAGTGCACCTGTAGTAGAGAAAACGGGTAGGCACCAAGCATCAGGCGTAAAGCCTTCTAAGTAATTTTACCTTTCTCATTTGTGAACCAGGTTCTCTCTTTGGAGTTAATGTGACCTGAAGAATCCAGGGGCTGGCGCGATAGCACAGCGGTAGGGTGTTTGCTTTGCATGCGGCTGGCCAGGCCGAGCTGGGTTCAGTTCCTTCGTGATTCCTCTGCCCCTCTTGGAGAGCCTAGCAAGCTACTGAGAGTATCTCGCCAGCACGGCAAAGCCTGGCAAGCTACCCGTGAAGTATTAGATATGCCAAACACAGTAACAATGAGTCTCACAATGGAGATGTTACTGGGCCCGCTCGAGCAAATCGATGAACTACGGGAGGACAGTGCAGTGCAGTGCAGAATACAGAAGGTATTTTTGCATCTTCACTTTTCACTTAGGGATAGTGATTAACATCTATTAATAATAGAGGTTTGGGCTTACAGTATACCGGCTCCACACACACCACCAGTGTCAGTATCCCCCTTTCAAACACCCCCACCCCCTTTAAATACCCTTGGCAAACTCAAGCAAAAGAATGAATTATTAAAGTTTGGGTCACATGATTACAATGGTCATAACTTCATTATGGACAATGATGCTTATGGGGTTTTTTTGGGAGGGAAGTTCACACCCGGTGATGCACAGGAGTTACTCCTGGCTTTAGAGTGCGGAATTACTCCTGGTGGTGCTCTGGGGACCATATGGGATGCTGGGACTATATGGGATGCAAGACAAACAGCCTACCCGCTGTACTATCAATCCAGCCCTGATGATTATGGTTTTGATGCACACAGTTACCTCACACCCATAAAAGAATATCCCAGCCCCCTGGCCGATATAAAAAACAAGATATTCTTAAGATCATTAACATCTTAACATGGCAGTTGGGAACCGAGCATGCTGTGGCTTATTTCTTTTTTAATCATATAAATTTTGATTTCATTTTTATTTGGATGCGATGATCATTTCTCAGTCCTGTCCACCTCTGTAGTTGCAGCATACTTAAGTTGGTGTATGATCAGCAACACAACTGTACGTGCATAACTATCCCTACATTTAGCAGTGTTTCTTTTTCATCATAAAAATTCATCATATGTATCTCGCTATTCCTTTTAATCATGGGCATATATTATTTAAGCGTACAAGTTAGATAAAAATCTTCCAAATATGGAGCTGGAGTGATAGCACAGCGGGTAGGGCATTTGCCTTGCATGTGACCGACCCGGGTTCGATTCCCAGCATCCCATATGGTCCCCTGAGCACCGCCAGGAGTAATTCCTGAGTGCAGAGCCAGGAGTAACCCCTGTGCATCGCCGGGTATGACCCAAAAAGCAAAAAAAAAAAAACAAAACAAAAAACTTCCAAATACTATGAAATTTGCTTTTTTTCTTTTTGCCATTAAATAATAATTTTAGCTCCTCATATTATTCATTATGGGAGGATTATTTTTTGGAGATTTTGTTGAACTTCTGAGAACAAGTTAATTTCTTCTTTTTTTGGTAGTTAGCTTTTGTATTATACTTTCAAACTCATAGCTGCTTTCATTATCCTGTGGAAGGATCACGGTCACGGTCCTCCCGTTGTTCATCGATTTGCTCGAGCGGGCCCAGTAACGTCTCCATTGGAGACTTTGTTGTTACTGTGTTTGGCATACGAATACATCATGGGTAGCTTGCCAGGCTCCACCGTGCGGGTGAGATACTCTCGGTAGCTTGCTGAGCTCTCCGAGAGGGGCAGAGGAATCGAACTAGGATCGGCCATGATGGCTGTGTGCAAGGCAAACTCCCTACCATTGTGCTATCACTCCAGCCTGTGCTATGTGGAAGGATAATGAAAATAAAATGATTAGGCACTATGGAGCTAGCACCAGGGTTGGGAGCAAGGCATGTATCCAGCCTCGGTTTCTTCCTGGGCACCATGTGGCTGGGTATAGTCCTAGAGACGCACAAGCATTGCTTGACGTGGCTCTAGATACTCCTGAGAACCACTGAGATGGCCCTGTGGGTTCCTGACCCCACGGGGCTCAAGTAGCCTCACCTTGGAGGCCTTCCCCTAAAAAATAGTAGAGGGAAAGCCAACATTATTTCATGTGTTTATGTGTGAAATATCATCCTCAAATATCATTTGTTCTGTGTGTGTGTGTGTGTGTGTGTGTGTGTGTGGTGTGTGTGTGTGAGAGAGAGAGAGAGAGAGAGAGAGAGAGAGAGAGAGAGAGAGAGAGAGAGAGAGACCCTGTAGTATTTAGGGACTATCCCTGGTTCTGCTTAGGGTTCACTCATGGTGGTTCTTGGGGACCATATGCTGTACCAGGGATGAACCGGGGTCGGCATTTATGCAAGATATACATCTTAGTTCCCGTTACCCCTTCACCTAAATGGCATGTTTTAAAGCTCACAGTTAAACAATATATTGCATATCTTCAGTTTTCCTTGCTAAATAAGGAGCTGCTTCCTGGAAGAGGTTAAACTTTCACGATGATAGAATTCAATTTCTTATGAAAATGTCATCAGGAGTAGGTGTGAAGTTGCAGAGCTCACCAAAAAAGATATTCTGTTTTTAATGGGATCTTAGGTTATCCGTTGAATGTGATCTAGCCTGACAGTTTATGTAGTTATTTCATGGATATTCTTTTGTAAATCTAGTCATTTAAATTCTTTAGTGTTCATTAGTCCTAGTCTCTGATTTCTGAGGTGAGCCTGTTTTACTTAATGATTTCTTTTATTCAATTAAGCATTATATGCACCCACGATGAGCCTGGAAGAGCTGATACTGCAAGTTGCATTTGATTTCAGGCAGATGGCTGTATCAGTGGTGATAGAGGTATTCTGTAACTTATCCACTCTTACAGCTAGAGAGAATTTTCCCTTAAAATTTACTGTTAAAACAATATATAAGTCTATTTTTTTCTGCTACTATTATGGACATAAGTGGAAGTGAGAGTTTTGCAACTTTGACTTTGCCTATTAGGCATTATTCGGTCTATGAATTGTGCACTGAGCTGGCTGAGATGTTATGGGGCATGGGCAGGATACTTAGATCTTTCTTAATTCTTTAAAAATTATCTTACTTTATAGGGCCAGAGAGATAGTAGCATGGTGAAGGTCTTGTCTTGCATGCAGCTGAACCAGGTTCAAATCCCAGCATCCCATATGGTCCCCTGAGCATGGCCCGGAGTAAGCTCTGAGCACAATTGGGTATGACACACGCACACCAAAAAAAAAAAAAAAAAAAAGAAGAGGAAAACAAAAGAATTACTAAGTAGTTACAAGTGTTCAAATATGTCAAGTTTCTATTATTATGTTAGAATTCAGACAACTCACAGGTAGAATTAAACAAGCCTTTATAATATCTGCTTAATAAAAGTCATAATTTGCTTATTAATAGTAAGATATCTTGTTAAGCTTCTACTTTTCCTCACGGTAAAAGGAAGGGACTACTTTGAAGTGATTATTAGCATTTACATTAGATCCTTGTTTGTCCTAACATATTATAAAACAATGCCAGATGAATTTTATATGTGAACTACAGATTGCTTACATGTAAGCTGTACATAATTCAGATTTCACTTATAAGTTACCATTTCCTCTTCCCTTTCAAATACTTTTTAACAACAAAAGCCCCCATCATAATTTGGAAACAGCTGGCCCTGACATTGTACATTAGTCTTGTAAGTCAGCTCTGATTTACTTTACCTGGTCGATCGAAGTTAATGCATTTTCCTTTTCATTCATTTCCCTTTTACTTGCTGAAACTATGCTGTTATTGAAGAATTTACTAGTGAAGTGTGTTTGGCTCACAGTAGCTTTAAATTTTTTAAATTTTGTTTCAATCCAGAAAGAGTCCCAGACACTCCAGAAAATGAGCTGAAATCCAGATGGGAAAACATATTGGGCCATGATTATGAAGTAATGGTATGTTAGAATCTTCTAATCACAAACATTCATGTCTCATTTCATGTCGGGCTCCAAACCTACCAGTTGACAGAAAGGAGGGGGAAGAACAATCGTCTTGCTTTTCTGTTTGCCTCTTGCCTTTATTCCCTAGTGTACCAATCCATCAATAATTCTCCCTACCCAGGTCTCCCCTCCCCCACCATCGTTTTAAGCTGTAAGAACAATTAAGGTCATCACTTAGCTTCTGTTTCTGAAACCCAAGTTTCAGAGTGTGTTGCAACCCTTAGAGTCGACAACACACAGAAAGAAATGTTGGGAGAGCCAGTGAGCTTGCCTTTAAATTTATTACCTGTATCAGCTGCTTAAAATTGCTGGCATTTTTATGATTGTTTTTATGATCTGTTTGTTTTATTGTGCACTGAAAGGGCTGTGGATATTAGTCCTATGTTTCACAAAGAATCTTACAGTTTTATGAGAAAAATGAAAGAATGATTATCAAACGTATTTGGGAGAACAGGAAGTAATTTAAGTTAGGCATAAGTTTATAGTACCCGTGGTCCATTAGACTTCCTTTTACCTGGTATTAGATTCATTGGGGATAAGGGATTGATTACCTTCCCCAGGTGAATCTACATGAAAGCAGAAAACTCTGCCTCCACCGCAGTCCATAAATGCATTAGGAATAAAAGATTCTATGGGATTTCTACTGTCATTCACGTTTTCTTCCAGATGGCTGTCATTAGTACTTGTTGACTGGTGGAGAATCTTTTTTATTTTTTTTTTCCTTCTTGGTTCAGAATATAGAGTCACTATCTATTACCAGAATTTTTTTCAAGTGTTGTTCAGCAGAGTCAGAGCAGTCTACACTTTTTCTCCTGGCTAATTTTGTATTTGCACAGTAGGCTTCTGGAACCGTTGCAGCATGATTTCAATGCTGGTGTGTCATTGGGCTTACCCTTACCTACCGCTTGGCCTTTTCTTCTGCCCATGGTGGTTTGGGGTTCAGAGTAATTTGCTAGAGCAGTATTTATACACAGCAAGTTTTGCTAGGAGCTCTTCTCCTTCGAATAACGTCCTATCCCACCCACACGGCAGAGCCTGGCAAGCTCCCCATGGCATATTCGATATGCCAAAAACAGTAACAAGTCTCACAATAGAGTCGTTACTGGTGCCCACTTGAGCAAATCAGTGAACAATGGGAGGCTAGTGCCCTGCTGCAGTGCAACCGGGTTACAACTCCTTGTTTTGATGAGGAGGAGCAGGAAGGAGAAAGCAAACGGGAAGAGTAAGAGCAGGCTTGCTTTCTCTGTCCCTTATTTCTTTTCCCAGCATCTATGTTTGAAAGCTTTGGATGGTGGTTTAACCTGTCCCCAGTCTACCTATTTGATGAACAGCTTACAGATGCAAATCATCAGTGAAGCATTTGCTTGCAAGGAATTCACTTCAGGAAACGACCTCCTTTGAAACTGAGAACAATAGTTTCAGGCCAGGAGGACAAGCTTTAAGCACTTAACTCCCTGAGCTTCCTACTCAGCCAGATTTTGAGTTTGTGCCCTTGCCAGCTCTTTCCCCCTAGGAAAATGGTTTAGCTCCTGCGGAAAGTCACATCTTCAGGTTTTCCAAGCTTGTTTGACTTCACTGATCTTGCAAACTTTGCTTTAAGGTCTAAATTTAAAAGTGAAAACGAGCACACTCTTGGTTTCGTCAAAAGTATAAAAATTTGATGGTTTCACTGTCATGGAAGATTACATTAAAATTTTAGGCATCATGGTATTTTAAAAATAGGATACGTATTTGCCCATCCCCTTTGGCTCAAGTTTTGAATAATTTAGGAAAAAAAGATTGCTGGGGAGGACAATAACAACACAAAAAAGCAAACATTCTCTCTCCATTTTAGATAGCGTGTGAGAATTTAGAAATACAAAAAAGGAGGCTAGGATACAGGCCAGATGGTGTTATAAACATATAGGTTTTGCATATTTTTTTTTCAAATAACTTAGAAAAAGTAGTTATATTCTGACAAAAATTTTTTTTCTGTGTAATTTGAGAATTTTTTTTCCTTGTAAATTTAGGTTGCAACATTGGACACACAAGTTGCTGATGATGCTGAATTACAGAGATATTCCAAGGTAAGCATTATTTTTTAATACGTTACCTGTTTATTTGAAAAAAGAAATTGCCCTCAAGTTTTGTCAAAGAAACAAATTGATGTTGTCACGTTAGTTTTCTGGGCTATAGTTTTGGACCTTTCTGGAAACAGCCTTTCTGGCAGTTTCTCCAATAGGTGAACAGTAGGCGATTGTTCCCTGTTATAGGGAAGAACATGACACAGGACTTTCCTGTGTTACCCTAGACCAGAGTTGGTTGTTGTGCCCACTTTACTTTGTTTTATTTTGTTTTGTCTTTGGACCAGATCTTCCAATGACATCATCATATATGAGTTTCTTTTTACAGATTGATTTTTTCATTTGAAAGTCCACAGATTATTTCTTCATTTTGATAAACTACATTCTAAAAGAGTCACTTTAATTATTTATTTATTTATTTATTTATTTTTTACTTTTTGGGTCACACCTGGTGATGCACAGGGGTTACTCCTGGCAGTGCTCAGGGGACCATATGGGATGCTGGGAATCGAACCCTGGTCAGCTGCGTGCAAGGCAAACACTCTACCCGCTGTGCTCCAGCCCCTAAAATAGTCACTTGAAAGCTGGTTGTTTAGTTCTTAACTAAGTAGCTCTTTTCTTCATCCTTTAATTCCTACATAAAGGAGCCCAGCCTGCTCAAACTCATTTCACAGAGGATACTAAAGCCTGAGAAAAATGAATGACTTGCCTCAAGTTATCCACCTAGGGAGTAGCTGAGGCTGGTTGCAACATTTATTCTTTCAGTCCTGAAATAATTACTGAGCTTCTATTCGGGCTAGGTATCAGGACTGAAGAATATAAGAGGTCCTAGCTTTGGGTCAGGCAAGAAGGTGAACAAAATAGTGGCCCTGGAAAAGAGTTGTTAAGTTGTAAAAATGATGGAAAGGGATAGAGAGGGAACACATTCCTGGAGATGAGGAATCAAGGAGGGGCCAGGATGGAGAGGGGGCGGGTGGGGGGTCGAGAGAGTGGAGAGTATGGGGTGGAGGAGAGCACTATTTAGCCTGGGCAAGATTTTCTGGCTCAGACTTGAAGCCAGAGGCCACGGGGAGCTGGGCAAGAGATGAGCGGTGGGTATGACATCCCAGAGGTGGGATGTGGCTGGCGTGTGGGTGAGTGGCAGATGTCACAAGTGTTTCCATGAAGCTAGTGGAAAGATCTTGAGGATGCAGCACCTTCAGTTCCTCCGTGGTGAGCCTTTTATTGTTGGTACTAAGTGGCACCGGCAAAGCACCAGGTGGGCCAGTGGCATGATGGACGGTTAAGACCTTGTAGGTTTGCGGTTTCTTTGAAGGAGGGGGGGGATGATCTGAGCCATGCTCATGGATCACTCCTGGCAGGGACCCTATGTGGTGCCCGGGGACCAAATCTGGGACAAGTGCCTCCTCCCACTGTGCTGTCTCTCTGGTCCCTTCTTTAGCTTTCAGATTAGGGAATCATGCTTCCTGGTTCTGCTGGTGTTCTCAAGGCTCTGGCTATCTTTATTTATGTAGGGTTATTTTTCCCCGCCCCCATACCTGGCAGTGCTTACTGCTGGGTCTCTGCTCAGGGATCACTCCTGTTGGGGTTTGGGGGAACATATGGGGTGCTTAGTCTTGAACCTGGGTCAGCTAAATGCAAGGCAAATGTCCTGCCGACTATACTGTTGTTCCAGATCCCTATTTATTTTTTATTTGGGCCACACCTGGCAGTGCTCAGGGTTTACTCTTGGCTCTGTGCTCAGGGATCACGCGGGGCAGGCTCAGGGGAACTCATGGGGTGCCAGGGATCAAATCCAAGTTGACTCTGTTCAAGGCAAGTGCCCCACCCAGTGTACTATCTATCCCTCCACCCCAGTCCCACCCCTGATCTCTTGGTCTCATTTGTCTCCATTATTTTACTACTGACAGTAAATCACACAGTTGTCACACTTGCCTTGTTGCATTGTCTCGTATCCCCTTCGAGATCCCTGTCAGGTAAGGATCTTGAAAATCCCGCTGCTCATAAACTTTGGCAATTTAACGGAGGACCCCTTACGAAGCTCACTGATTAAGCATCAACAAGAATAGCATGAGATGTGTGTGAAGGAATCAGTCATCGTGGGCTGTACCTGCTCCTGTCATGGAAGCACTTTCTGCTTTCTCTCTGAGAACTCAGAATACTGAAGGGGTGGACAGCTGAAAAAGACAAATGAAACATTGATTTATTTCATTTTCTTTTTTGATTTATTTCATTTTCAATGCAGCAGGGATTGGTGACGAACCACTCTTGCTCCTGTGGTTGAGCCTGCATTAGTGTAGCCTATGGTCCCGGCCAAGTCAGAACTGATATTAGGTAGAATCCTTCAGATCAGCAGATTCCATCAGCACCATTTCTGCTTTATTTCTTCAGTGTGGTTGAAGTTGGAGTACATGTTTTGCTCATGGTTTTAGTTTCTGGGGTGTGAGTGGTGTTTGTTGATTTCTGGGGGTTATATCCAGGAAGAGCCAAACCCTGTTCTGGGAGGCAAGACATTTCTTTCTCTGCTCTTGCTCACTGTTCTGATTTGTTCCTAGTGAGCCCAACGACAAGGACCAACCCTTGGATAAAGCAAGATGAACACGGGACCGGACAAGGAGATTGGAATTAGTTCCTCTGTTGACTTGTTTAGAGTTGCTGTTCTTATCCAGACAGCAACTCTGGGGAAAATATTGGACCCTTTTTCCTATGTAGAAATGATTACTGCAATTTTTGGTTACACAGAGAGACACTCCCCATTAATATTTTTTTCTCCCCCTTTGATTTTGGCGCCACACCTGTGGTGCTGAAGACTTACTCCTAACTCTGAGCTCAGGAATCACTGCTGACAGGGTGTGGGGAGGCCATATGGGGTGCCAGGGATGAAACACAGGTTGGCTACCTACTGGACTATCTACCCACTCTCTACCCACTCTCTACCTACTGTACTATCCTACTCCCTACCCACTGTACTATCCTACTCTACCCACTGTACTATCCCACTCCCTACCCACTGTACTATCTCTCCAGCCCATTTCCCAGTGAGCTTTTTCGCTTATCTCGTACATGCCATTCACTGTGGAATGCCAGCTCATAGCTCAAGTCTTTGCCCGCAGTGTCTACCCAAAAGTCACTGTCAGTGGTGTGCCAGTGATTGTCTGGTTCTCAGTGCTGCTTTGGTGGTGCATTGGTGAATGTACAGCTCTCAATACCCCAAAGTGAACAAGGGAAAATTTACAGATACCGGTGGGGCCCAACCTTTCCACCTGATAGGTTCCACACTGCCCAGATGACGTCTCTGAACAGCTCTGTGGGGAGTGGTTCAAGGCGGCATTTCATGGCTCAGATACCCCTGTGACAGCAGGACTATTAAATTCCGATCCAGCACCAGCTAACCAGGGCAGCTGTTTAGCTGGTTCCTGGCTCCTTCCATTCTGCACCCTGTGTATTTTCTGAGATTTTAGGTAGAATTGCCACCATAAAAACATAACAGATATCAATTTGAGAATACAGATGAAATGTCATTAAAAAAACATGAGAAAGTGATGAATTTTGAGAACTTACCGTCTCTTTGGGAGAGAGGTAGCACTGTAGCACTGTCCTCCCGTTGTTCACTGATTTGCTCGAGCGGACCCAGTAACGTCTCTATTGTGAGACTTGTTGTTACTGTGTTTGGCATATCGAATACGTTACGGGGAGCTTGCCAGGCTTTGCCGTGCGGGCGAGATACTCTTGGTAGCTTGAAAGGAGCGGAGGAATCGAACCTGGGCCAACCAGGTCGGCCATGTGCAAGGCAAATGCCCTAGCTGCTGTGCTATCGCTCCAGCCCTTGGGAGAGAGGTATTGCACACATATTAGTTCTCAAGGCTTACTCCTGGTTCTGAGCAGGAATCACTCCTGGTGGGGCTAATAGGACCATGTGCGATGCTGGGAAAGGAACCTGGGTCAGCTGTGTGCAGAGCAAGTGCCCCACCTGCTATACTATTTCTCCAGTCCCCTACTATTATTTTTAATATTTTTTCACTTAAAAGTAGCAAAACTCTTGGGGAAAAATAAGGTGGATTTTCCAACATTAAATTACACTGTAAAGTTATGGCAATCAAAACAGTGTGGTACTGAAATAAAGAGAGACTCTCAGGTAAATGGAACCAATTTGAGAACACAGAAAGACTCATAAGTAGATGGGTAGCTAATATTAAACAGGTCCTAATAATGTGAAGTGGAGCAAAGAATGTCTCTTCAGCAAATGGTGTTGGAAAACTAGCCTGCCACATATAAACAATAAATTTTAAAAAGAAAAAAGGTAGTATTACATCATTTTCTTTCCTTTTCTTGTCTTGTCTTTTCCTTTTTTGTCACACCTGGCAGTGCTCAGGGGTTACTCCTGACTCTGCACCCAGGAATCATTCCTGGTGGTGCACAGGTGGACCATATGGGTTGCCAGTGATCAAACCCAGGTCAGCTATGTGCAAGGCAAATGCCCTACCCACTGTGCTATCATCCGGCCCCTGCATCATTTAATTTTCAACACCAGTCATAGTCAGAGACTGACTTGTGACGTTCCTAAGAATCTAAGAACCTGCTCCTACCACTGGGCTTCAGTGCCTGGCTAGAGTCACCCCTGTGGGGTCATCTGTCATCTCTGTCTCCCTCGTGTTTGACTCAGAAACAAGGGCAAGAGGAGAATTGGTGGAGGTAGGTGAATGAACTAGGACAGAGCCATTTCTCTGAGCGTTTCTGCTCTAACACAGCGCTCCTCAGCCTTTTCTCACCTGGGACCCCTTTCATACTTTGTTTCCTTCCCGTGGCCCCATCTCCTTGTTCTACAGTTGGCCCTAGTCAAACTGTAGAACTATTGTACTAATCATACTACTATTTAACTTTGTGTTTTAATTTTTTATAAAAAATGTTTTATCGAATATTCATGAGATAGACCATTACTAAGCTGTTCATGATCGGGTTTCAGTCATACAATGATCCAGCACCCATCCCTCCACCAGTGTACATTTCCCATCTCCAATGTCCCCTGTGTTCCTCCCACCATCCCCCAACTCCTCTCTGCCCCCTCATTCCTCCCACAGCCTGCTTCTGTGGCAGGAACTTTTCTTCTTTCTCTCTCTCCTTTTGTGCATTATGGTTTGCAATACAGGTACTAAGAGGTCATCATGTTTGTTCAGGGCATTCAGAATTTTTATCAGGAAGATAAAGCTAGAGTCACTTTTTTAACTGGGTGGCAGGTTTGGGGTGTGAGCTTGACTGCCATGACTTCAGGAAGTATAGCGAGGTGTGTGTGTGTGGGGGGGGGGTAGCCCATACTGGCCCTGAGAAAGCCTGGAGATTTCAGTCACAAAACCCACATATCTGAATTTTCAACAGGTTAATATCTCCGTGAGGTCCATCCTGAGATAGTGGAGTCTGGCCGGGAGCATGGTGGCAATTTGGGATTCTGGGAGCAAGCAGCTCTTGGGGGCTCTACTTGGGCAGGCACCAGGCTGGTTCAACTCCCTCCGATTTACTCTGCTCTGTTAAGCTTTGTGTGGCTCTGAGATTAACTGAAGCTTTTGATATCTTTCGAGATTTGTTTATGGATCTTTGATGCAAGGTCGATAAATGAGCTTTTGTATAGTTGAGCCCGAGATGGTGGTTTGGTGTGGCTCCCACATACCTAACTTTTGGCCATTTAATTTATTGGGAAAATTGGTCCCGGGTTATTGGTCCAGAGAGGCACAGTGGCAATTTGGGGGTATCAGGAAGCCTGAAGGCACCATTAGGCTGCTGATACACTCGCTCCTGTTGGCAGCACTGCATGCTCTGACCCCTAGTCTTGAGCTAGAGTCACTTTTTTAAAAGGGTGGCAGGTTTGGGGTGTGAACTTGACTGCCATGACTTCAGGACTGCCCCTCTCCCACACACACATCTACAAGATTTCTACCTGGGACCCCTCGAAATTTCCTGGGACCTCTGCCTGAGAAACGCTGCCTGACAGAGTTCTGCTAGAGGAAACGGCACTCCAGTCTGCTGCTAGCTCACTGTACAACTTTGGTGAAGAAATCACAGAGCAGCACACAAAGCAAAACCACCTGCCTATCCATGTAGAGGGCCAGAACACCTTTGCGCCAGAGAGGGGGGTGTCTTCCAAAGCGCTCTGTGGTCAAGAGAACATAATTATCAGAAAATGTGCCCAGGACCCAAGTCCGTGGTGCTTAGTTTAAGTCTCAGGACTTAGCCCAACTGTTTCCCTGCCACTTCACATTTGCCTGCTTGTCTGTAGGAGACTAAAATGAGCCCCAGAGGGAGTCTGAACCCGGTCTATGAAATTCTGGGAACTCGAAAGAAGACTAAAGAGAGGTGGCAGAGTCAGAGAGATAGGAGACCCAGAAGAGAAGAACGAGGAGGGGAAGAGTCACCATGCAGTTACCTCCCACCCTAGTGGGGTTTTCTCCTGATCACATATATAACTGGGGGGTGGGCAGGTGGGAGGAGGGCTGGGGCTTTTAAATGCATGGACTATTGATGCAGGAAATACAAATCATAATTAGTATCATTGGCCATCATTGAACGTATACAAGGTCAAATCATCAGCTTCATCTTTGAAAGTTAAGAGATGAATTCCAACTGCACTAAAGACTCATTACCAATTCCTGTTGACACTGGTCAATGTGTCTTCACCTTGGACTCATATCTTACTTAGCCCTTTCGTATTACAGCATGACATCTAGAGCAAAGTAGCAATGGCCTCCATTTTTGCCACCCCAGGCCTCCTCCCATATTGAAAATTGCTCACTTATGTTGGTTAGGTGGAAAAGGCCGTAAGAGTGAGACAGCGTTTCATGTGTTAGTTCACTGACATTCGAGGGATCCGTGTTCAGAGCCTGGTATCCCTCTCAGGTCTGGGCTTGTTAGAGAGAAAGGATGCAGACTGTATTCAAGCAGCAGGTGGAGTGGAGAAAGTAGGAAGCTTAAGCCCAGTGTGTTATCAGATCCCACAAGGAGGTATCATTAGCTGCAGTGCCAGGAAGGGCTTCCTGGAAGTTTCCCTGCCTTCGTATTGATGTGAAGTAGATCAGATCAAGAAGAGGACCTTGGGGGCGCTAGGGAATGGCAATCCGGGCGGAGAAAGGAAGTAGAAGGCAGGGCCAGTTTGGAGTGCTGGTTGCTTAGCACTGGAAGTGGGCTTTGTGCGCCTGTCTCTCCGTTTCCAGGGACCCTGAAAGGAAAAGAAACATGTGGAGAAGAATACAAACGACTTAATGGTTAACCTGACACTTAGTGTTCTTTATTGTCCTCCTTTGGGATTTAGGAATCTGAGTCAACAGGGGTGTGTGTGTTGGGGGGAGGGGGTGGGCAGTGAGTTCCGTGTCCAGACAGCCTGTCTGTGCGAGAGGAGAAGCCCCGGACGGCCACTTCCTGTGTTTGATTTTCTTGTTCTGTGTTTTGCTGCAGCTGCTGCCCATTCACACGCTGAGGCTTGGCATGGAAGTGGATTCCTTTAACGGGCACCATTACATTTCTTCGATTGTCCCGGGCGGTCCTCTGGATATGCTGGGCCTCCTCCAGCCAGAAGATGAGCTTCTTGAGGTAAAAATCTGATGATGAGAAAGACCCAGGGGTTGGACCGGAGAGATAATGCAATGGGCTATCTCGAGAGTCTCTCCTGGTGATGCTTGGGTCACCATGTGGTGAAACCTGGACCTCCCTTGTGCAAAATGCGTGCTCCAGAAAGCCACTGAATTGTATTACCACATCTTGGCCTTGGCAGCTGCACATCCTTTGAGTGATAGTCCTTACCAGGGTGGCACCCCTTTTTAGGGTGCTTGCAAACAGATGGCTGTGATGCAACCAGGAATTGCTTGAGGCTCTGAGGATCACAGACTGCTGAGCTGCAAGGCTCAAATAGCAGGACCGCTAGAGTCGCACTCAGTACATAAGGGACACCTGAGCTTTGAACTTAGGACCGCATGCCTGCAAGGAAGGTCCTCAACCCCCTGCATTACAACTCCAGCCCCTGTACAGAATTCTTGAAAGTTGCCAAGAAAATCGATCTTAAATCTTCTCATCACACAGACACACAATTGATACCTAGGAGAGGTGATGAGTCCTAGCTAAGCTTACTGTGTAATCATTTTTGTCTCTATATAGCAAAGTATCTCATTGTACACTTAAATGTACACAGTGTTTCATGTCACTTGTATCTCAGTAAAATGGGGTAGGGGATCACACTGAAAAAGGCAAAACTGAAACATTAATATCCTGTTTTAGTTTAATAGTTTGGGTGCATTTTATCTGGTAAGTTTTTGTTCCCTGGTTGTTGCTTAGGGGTGAAACCCAGCGGTCCTTTGGGCTAACTTCTGGCTCTGTGCACAGGAATCACCCCCAGCAGGGTTTAGGGGACTTTACACTGGGGATCAAACCAGGAGGGTCAGTTAGTGCAAGGTCAGTGCCTTCCCCACTATCCTCTCTCTGGCCTTGGGGAAATTCTTCTTAAATTTGTAATCTCTGACCCTTGTTTGCAACATGGAGTCACATTTCTTCCAATTTTGCTGATGCTGTTCAATGAGCATGAGAGCTGGGCGACCTTGGACTTCTGTGTTATGGACCTGGTTTTCCTAATATCTCCTTAGGACTCACTCCCCTTCTCATGAGCCCAGTGGGTGCACCCACATGCCAGCCTCTCTCAGACCCAGCAATTCTAGAGCACTTCTTTAAGAAGACTTTTGGAGAGCTGGTTGGATTAGGAAGTGTTCTAATCAGCAACACAAAGCAAAGCTTTTAAACACTGATAGAGCTGAGCATCAGAGTTCTATCAGTCTTTAGTATTGTTTAATACATTCTTAATATTGTCTAGCTTCCATGTGATTGACTTTGCAATGCCTTTACAAGCTCTTAAAAAGAGATGTAGGGGCTGGAGCAATAGCACAGTGGTAGGGCATTTACCTTGCACACAGCTGACTCAGGTTCGATTCCCAGCATCCCATATGGTCCCCTGAGCACCGCCCGGAGTAATTCCTGAGTGCAGAGCCAGGAGTAACCCCTGTGCATCGCTGGGTGTGACCCAAAAAGGGAAAAAAAAGGCATGTAAGCAAGAGTCAAGTTTAAAGACATCTAAAGTGACCCCACCTACCCCAACAGTATTTGTAAGCAGTCCTCAGAATGGATTTGATACAATCCCCTCTTTGCCTTAGCCAGGATGAGAATCCTGCACACTTGGATTACAGAGTTTCCTTATAAAATCTTCATTTGGCCAGAGTGGGATGGAAAGGACCACAGTTGGGTGTATCCGCATTTGTTTTAGGAGTATCTGGCAACCTGGAGGATTATGTTGAGAAGTCCAAGTTCAGTTTTTAGATTAGCAGAAAACATGCTGTGACTAAAGCTCAAATTATTACCACAAAGGTGCATGGGAGTTGAAGGTATGGCACCATTTGGAGATGTTCTGATTTATAGGTGGTTTGAAAAATACTATTGGCATCATCACTGCAGATGAGTGCCTGAGATAGAGCCTCATCACCGCTAGGTGGTTTCTAGTGATTTTATTTTGTGTGTGTGTGTGTGTGTGTGTGTGTGTGTGTGTGTGTGTGTGTGTGTTGAGTCATGGATTTCGCCTCTGATTAGTGGAACATGGGGCATTGGTCCGTGGATATCATATATGATCCTTGGTAGACTGGAGACAACTTTAGACCATTTCTATAATATACAGTTGTAAGGTATTGAGAAATGAAGTATATTTATTTGGGAGATGGAAAAAATATGAGTAGAGTCCAGTTAAGTTCACTTTTATTGCCGTAGATACACAATAAAAGTTGCCATGTTAACCATTTGTAGTGTACATGCCGGGACATTGAGTACAATTCAGTACTAGTGTGTAGTAGATGATGAAGGGTGTCGCTGCATCTGGGTAGAGCACATGTACACGGTTCCAGCTATCAGCTGTGTCCCCTGTGCCTTTGCTACATTTAGAATCGAAGTCCCCACCACCTGGTATTAGAATGTGTTGGGGAAAGGTGGCATGAAAATGTTGGATTCTAACTTCCTGGTTCCTGGCACAAGCAGTGGCCTAGGGAAGGAAGCCCATGGCAGAAAGTCAGAGTTGCTGGTTTTGTTTCTGAATTGTACTTGCTCAGCCCTGGTCCTTCGGCACCTCCCTTAACTGCTGGAGAATAACTTTCTTCTTCAATTCATGCGTTCGCAGGGTGTGATGGCATAGCATCGTTGTAAACTCTCATGCATTATGTTACTGGCATATGTTGTGCCATGGCAAAGGCATAATCACTCTTTATGGAATGGGAGAATGAGGATTTGATGATGTAATGCCATGGACCAGGACTTGCATGGTATTATGTCATCTGCAAATGTGTGTGTATGCATTGTCTGATCACAAAGTCTGAATAACTGAGACTTGATGGCACTTAAGAGGGTCTCAGGCTGAAGGGCCTGGGGAAATATTGTGGACTGTAAAATAAAAAAATCACTGCTTCTTTGTAACCCAATATAGGAATATAAAATTCTTATAAAGTTAGGCAAATAAACTCCTAAACACACACACACTCTCTCTCTCTCTCTCTCTCTCTCTCTCTCTCTCTCTCTCTCTCTCTGTGTGTGTGTGTGTGTGTGTGTACTCCTTAGAGCTTAAGATCAGAAACACAAATAAGCCTTGGGGTTAGAACACGGTGCCAAGTCTCAGCCCTTAGCAGCTATTTCCAGAGCCGTAAATCCCCTTAGATAGGAGTGGGTAATGGGAAATGTGACCAATCCCTTCTGCAATAGAGAGTGGCGAGGAGGACTACCAGGCACTGCTATAATAATTGGAGACAATTCACATGAATAAGTAATGAGCTAAATAAATATTTAAATGTACTCCAAGATAAAAACCTGAGCCGTGATTTTCTAATTTGTTGAAGTAATGGGAAATGCACCCTAATACAGGGGGGTGGATGACAACTCGCTCTTGGCTTCTCTCTGCTTGATTTATCCTTGGTGTCAGTTACTACCCACTGGATGAGTTTGAGCACTTTCTGGGCTTCTGACCATGTGGATCTGGCATGCCCAGGGGATCCCTCCCTGCTCGTGTTGGCATGCAGGTGGACGGGCCGTTCTTCCCCTGGAGAGCCTGCACCCGCTGCAGAACTGGCTGTCTGCTACATCCCATTCATCAGGCGTGAGGAATCGTGGGAGGTATCCTGGACTTTCCCCCCGGGGTCACTCCCCCAACACAACTCTGAAGTCCTTCCCAGGTGCCCGTGTCCCTGTGACTGAGTGCTCCTCCAGGCAGGGATGAGGAGACAGAGGTGAAAGAAAATCGTGACTCCCCATACTCACTGCTGATCACTGAGACCTTCTAAGTTGAGCAGTTTGTAACAACCTTAAAATTAGCCCTAATACCAGCCGTACACTCTAGGGGTAAAGGCAGCTCAGATAGAAAAGGGAGCACCAAATAAAGGGGGTTAGGAAGATCTGCCCAGGATGGGAGATGCATGCTGAAAGTAGACTATAGACCGAACATGATTGCCACTCAGTTCCTCTTATGCAAACCACAGCACCCAAAAGGAGAGAGAGAACAAAAGGCAGTGCCCTGCCACAGAGGCAGGGTGGGATGGGGGGCTGGGGAGAGGGAGGGATATTGGAATTAGTGGTGGTGGAGAATGGGCACTGGTGGAGGGATGGGTACTCGATCATTGTATAACTGAAACCCAAGCATAAAAATTTGTAAGTCTACAACTGTACCTCATGGTGTTTCACTAATAAAAATTAAAAAAAAAATTAGCCCTAATATCTGAAGTGATGGAAACAAGGTTTAGCAGTCCAGCAATATTTCCTGCGTTTCTAAGGAGCCGAAGGCAAAATTAAGTGAGAGATGACAACCTTGAAGCCCAGCAAGGAGAAATACATGGGGGTGAAAAATGAGGCTGCTCACTTACAGGAAATAGATGAACTTTTCAAAAAGTTAAAAAAAAAAAGTGCCAGAGATTGAACTCAGGGCCACCCACATGCTAGGCAAGCACAATATCACCCAACTCCAGGCCTTACTTCGCCACCCCCACCCACACATAAATTTTATATATCCCCATTCGGGAAAGGTTCATTCTTATTATTTTTATAGGGGCCACCCCAGCAGTGCTAGAGGTGGGGGGCTGGGAGACCCCTCCTGCTGATGCTCGACCCAGCGGTGCAGACTTGATGGGTGGGTGTGGTCTGGTGGTGCTGGAGGGATGAGAAGAGCATGTGGCACTCCGTGCTGTGCACATGCTTAGACACGCATGTGCGCTTCCTCAGAGCTGTCTCTGTGGCCCTAGACTATCTCTGATCATTTTAAAGGACTTCTAATGTTTTTAATTCCTAGGAACTGGGTAGAACAAAGCCTGGATCCTTGGCGGGCAGGGTCTGAAAGAGGCAAGCCTCAACTCAACTTCATGTCTCCCGTTCTCTGCACCTTCCAGGTCAACGGCGTCCAGCTGTACGGGAAGTCGCGCCGGGAGGCCGTCTCTTTCCTGAAGGCAGTGCCACCCCCCTTTACCTTGGTTTGCTGCCGGCGGTTATTCGATGATGATGAGGTCTCTGTTGATGACCCCAGGAGCCCTGTTACCTCTCCTCCTGCGATGGAGGTACTAAGCCCATCCCCATGCAGCCCCTTTCTCCGGAGGACCTGAGAGTACTGCAGTCTAGAGAGGAGGTGTGGGGGGGGATGTCCTCTTTTCCCTGATTATGGAAGTCCTCATAGGCCACAGTCTGTAGCCTTTCCACTCGTTGATTTTTTATTTCAGGTCATAAATCTTTCCTTCCCCCTGCTGCACCCCTTCGAATGTTGTGACATTAATGTACAAGTACTTTGATTTGGGAGAAACTTTTTTTTTTTAAATGACTGCTTGGGTTTATTTATTTTGACTCCCTTTCAAACCAGTTCATCTCAATAAGTTTAACGTGTTGGTGAGTGTTAAATATCTAATGGACTTCCCTTTTACCGAGCCTTAAAAATGCGAAGATCTATGACCAATTTCTATGCGTGTCTAAAAATTGTTATAAAAGTCTTTAGAAGAGAAAATAACACCTGTGCTCTTGTACTTCCTCTCTCCCCACCAATAAACACACACACACGCACACACACACACACACACACACACACACACACACGCACCTTTTTTTGTTGTTATTTTTTTAAATAATGAGCATTGTAGGTATGGAACTGGTCCAGCACGTTCTGCCAGTGTGTGCCATTGTTGCCTTTCTTACATGACTTTCTCCCTTAGAAGACTCTTAAATTATTATTCCTCTTACGGAATATTAACTTGTAATCTCATACATAGAATGTTTCCTTTCACCTATACATCTCAACAACAGAACCCAGGTCAAGTGTGGCCCAAAGACCAAAGAAAAAGAGGAAGAAGAAAAAAGAATGAATCTTTCTCCTACCTTACTCTACCGTGGAGTGATGGCAAAGTTTTGGATAGATAGTTTGATTTTCTTTTATCCTCCCCCCCCCCCCCCCCCCCACCCCAGAGGACCATACGGGATGCCGGGGATCAAACCCTGGTTGGTCACACACAGAGCAAGTGACCTACTCTCTGTGCTATCTCTCTCTGGCCCAGATACGTTGGTTTTCTGGTCCCACTTTTCCTCCAAAACCACAGTCAGGGATGTGGGGATCATGGCAGCACTGACCTTCCCCTGGTATGAGAAGGAAGTGAGGAGAGGATGGTGTGTGGAGGACTTCAATGCCTCGCACATGGAAGGTGCTAGAAAAATACTTGCTGGCAGTATATATATATATATATATATATATATATATATATATATAATTATTATTTTTTTTGCTTTTATGGGTCACACCCAGCGATGCTCATTCTTGCTCTTCCAGCCCACCTCTCCTCCTCGTTCTGCTTCTGACAGGCTGTAACTGTCCAGCACTGTCTCGTCCTCATCATAGACACTAGAGTGTGTGTGCTCGTCTTCCCTTTACAAGGAAATTACCGGAGTGTGTGGGCAGAGACCGTAGATCAACATGCTTTTTGTCTTTCAATCTGTTGTTGCTCTCTGCCGTGCACGGCGTTTAACACATGAAGCCAGGAGGATCATTTTGTAAAAAATGTTCATCTTCAGTTAAAATTTTTCTCATTTTCCAGGAATAAGCTTAAAGGCCACACTTTTGTGATTCTTGTTATCTTTACTAAAATTAAATGTGGGCCAGGGTTTACCTCGAAAGGTTGGTAAGAATGCCTTTAATCTAATCTAACAGGGTGCGTAAATCACCACCCCAGCTTGCGGCTCTTCTCCCATCTGTCATGCTTTACCACAATAGGTAAACAACAGCTTTGAATTATGCTAAATGTCAACCTCACTTCCCATTAGTTGATTGCTTTCCATTCTGTAAATACCGGAGTTATGCAGAACTGATTGTATCAAAGTGATATATTTCAGGTGGGAGTGTAATATCTCATATAGCTTGGACACACAGAGATTTCTATAAACTTGGGTTTTGTAATTTTTAAGAAACTATCGGTTTCTTAAACTACCGGCTCTTTATTCATCTGCCTCTCTCCGTTTTTTTTTTTTTTTTCTCATTTATTCCCATATCATCAAAGGTTCTTACACCCTGTCTGGTAAGTCTGCTGAGTGAGAATTCTAGTGCTCATTAGGTATTAAAGGCCCTAGTAAAACATCAGTCACATTTTGGTTTAGCCTTTGGAATTTCTTGTTAGAAATTATAAGGTTTTTTTTTTTAAGGGTACCATTTCATCACATCAGGCTGATACATACAGATGTTATCGATCCAGAACGTCCCCCCTAATTTCAAGTTGTGTAACTCAAGAACCAAGAAATTGTTCCCATGTTTAGATTCAGTCCAGCGTGGATTGGGTTTTGATTTTCCATATCCCGGGGGGACCGTCTGAGATCTGGACCACGCTTAATTTTTAAAGTGTTTTTTATTAGCTCTGGTGCCTTGCTCCTCCATGTTTAGAGGAGGTTCTTCCCCCTGTCCCCACACCCTCTGATAGCAGGAAGTGGACTTTCTCACACAGCTCTTTCAAATGGTTGTTTAGAGGAAAGAGGCACTTTCGATTTATTTTCTGAGATTATGAAATGTTTTCAGAAGGCTACTTTTGAAAATCATTAGCCTGAATCTTTATTAAAAGGGAGTTTTGTGGAAAGCTCACTCAAATATAGATGACTTATTAATGCACTGAACAATGTCTGGCACCTACTGTGTGAGCCCAGTATTGTGTCTGGTTTGAGTGGGATGCCCTGGTTAGCTCTATGATGGCCTGAATACTTTAGCTTAAGTAAAGTAAAGTAAAGTAAAGGCCCTCCCGTTGATCATCGATTTGCTCGAGCGGGCCCAGTAATGTCTCCATTGGAGACTTTGTTGTTACTGTGTCTGGCATATCGAATACGTCACGGGGAGCTTGCCAGGCTCTGCCGTGGGGCGAGATACTCTCGGTAGCTTGCCGGGCTCTCCGAGAGGGGCGGAGGAATCGAACTCAGACACTTTGTTAGCTGCAAGGGCTGCAAAGAACAGGAAGTTGGGAGACCAGAGGTCAGAGTAGTAGCACAGCAGGTAGAGCCCTTGCTTTGTACTCTGCCAGCTGGGTTCAATTGCCAGCATCCCACCTTGTCTTCCAAGCACCGCCAGTACATTCCTGAATGCAGAATCAGAAATAACCCCTGAGCATTGCTGGGTGTGGCCGAGAAAAGATAAGAGGCCAGAGAGATAGAACAGGGGTTAAGGCGCTTGCCTTACATGTGACTTTCTCCCATCCCACCCGCCATCTGTGTTCAGTTCCCAGTACCGCATATGGTCCCCTGAGTACTGCCAGGAGGGAGAGATCTCTCAGCACAGAGATCCGGGTAAAGCCCCTGAGCGGTGCTGAATCTAAACCCCACAACTCCCCAAAAATAATGGAAAAGAAAAAGAAAAAATTCCAGAGTTTTAAAAAGAAGCTTTGATTCTTTGTTTTTATTTTTATTTATTTATTTTTGTTTTTTGGGTCACACCTGGCGATGCACAGGGGTTACTCCTGGTTCTGCACTCAGGAGTACCTCCTGGCGGTGCTCAGGGTACTATATGGGATGCTGGGAATTGAACCCGGGTCGGCCGCGTGCAAGGCAAACGCCCTACCTGCTGTGCTATCTCTCTAGCCCCAAGAAGCTTTGATTCTTTGGAGGGGAGGACAACACATCTTTGGGGAAGGAAGCCGCTCTGGATACGGTATACAGCCAGAAGCTCTGCTTGCCTCTCTTTCCCACCGTCCTCCCTCTGACCCCTGACCTAAACATCCTATGGTTCCATACAGCAGTGACTCTTGCCACTCTAGGGAAGCTGGAGCAGGAGAACCCAGCATCTGTCTGAGGTCAAAGAAAATACCCAAGAAGTATTTGGTACTACTGCAGAGTGCTGGGTAGTCATGCGGGCCTATTTTCTTCAAGAAGTAGTTAATTATGATTTTATTGTCTCAGCTCATTGCTTTGCACCTGCTTTTCTTTTCTTTCTTATTTATTTGTCTAGTGGTGCCGAGGACTGAAATCAGGGCTTCACACATGCAAGGCAAATGCTCTACTGCCAAGCCACGGCCCTATCCCTTTGTCTGTTTTCAGACTTGCTTGACTTTCAAAGACTGAAGGGGAGCTGCTTGCTTTTGCTTTTCTGTTTTTCCTAGTAAAGATTTTTTGAAAGACTTTCAGGAACAAGCATCAATGGGTTCTTTGTGCCCTGCTCCGGCATCTCTCTGTGTTGCTTTTCCTCTGTGTCTCCCAGGAATGATGAATTCAGGTATCACTACTTAAATCTGTTGCAGTCAGTGACTTTGTCTCAATGTTTTCAATTTTTCTTAAATTTTATTTTTTCTCCTTGTATGCTTCTAATGGGATGACACAGCTCATTGAAGTATAAGAGGTCAGTGTGAATGCTTTGTAAGAGGTCAGTGTGAATGCTTTGCAACAGGTCCTTGACATTGACAAACATACTCTATGAGTCATCTCCATGATGTGCTCCAATATCCACAAAGACTGTATACCAGAGTCCCTGTGCCCTCCTGCATGCCCCTTTGAGAAAATAAAAGAGTGAATAATTGCATGTCAAAGGAAAAATGCCCATTTGAAAAAAAAATGATGCTATTCCTGTGATGATGATTCTTCTCAGAACTGGCAAGGTATTGTTTGAAAACAGTACTCTTCTTTGGTTTTTTAGGCTGACCGCAATGTAGATGTCAATAATGAAGATGAGGATGATGATGGGGAGTTAGCTCTCTGGTCTCCTGAAGTCAAGATTGTTAAACTAGTAAAAGATCAGAAGGGCCTAGGATTCAGCATTTTGGATTACCAGGTAAATGAACCCATATAAAGTTGTTTTTTTTTTTTAATTTTCACCCATTAATTGATTTGTATTAAAGTTTTGCAAAATAGTGTGTTTAAAATTTAGCTTTTTGGAGCCAGAGTGATACCATACAATGGTATGGCATTTGCCTTGCACGCGGCCAACCCAGGTTTGATCCCCAGCATCCCATATGGTGAGCACCGCCAGGAGTAATTCCTGAGTGCAGAGCCAGGAGTAACTCCTGAGCATTGCTGGGCATGACCCAAGAAAGAAAAAACATAAATAAATAAAATAAAATAAAATTTAGCTTCTTAATCTTAGGGTCGTGACACCATACTGGGTCATATAAGTTTTAAAATATTTGCTTTAAAATAAACTCCTTTGTGATTTATTATCAGTAAGTGTTTGATTTGTGTATGCATTTTATCTACCTACATACCTGGAATAGCAAAAAATTTACTGAGTGAAAAGAGTTTAGTGAAAAAAGTTTAAGACACCCTGGTTTAAAGCTCCTATTAATTTAGGCAAAATTGAATGATTAAATGTATAATGCTACTGTCCAAAGATGGGGGTGTTGTAGTTTCCATTGTTATCTTTACAATCGATAGTTCTGTTAGTGAATAAAATGATTGATGATGTAATAACTGGACAATAAAGGAAGCAATCGTTTTATACCCATGGATGTATTTAGAGACTGGAACGTGATGAAATTTTTTATTTGAAGGGTTTTTCCTCCCAGCTTTATTGAGATATATTTCACATACCATAAAGCCTGCCCGTTTAAAGCACACCATTTGGTTGTTCTCAGTATATTCAAAGTTGTGTGACCATCACCACTGGCTACTTTAGAGAATATTCCTCACCCCAAAAAAGAAACCCCATACACGTCATTCATAATTATCACTCTCATCCTCCCCCTTTATCTGAAGATTTTATAGTTTTGCTTACCTATTCATTTCAGTGAGCTTAATTAAGTAGAAATGTCCTGAGTGGAATTATATAGCATGTTTACATCTAACACATATCACATATCATTAATATATTTATACACACTCTAGTTATTACGAGGGTAAAGCTATAAACAGTGGGGCAGTTGAGGGGATGTGAAAGATAAAGCTGGATGTCTGAGTATCTTTACAGTTTACCAGTTCAAAGTATTTTTAGAGTTTTGATTATCATGGAGAATTAAAACTGTTGGCAAGACATCCCTTCACTTTTAAGATACATCTTCCAGTGCTTTTGTGCCGCCAAAACACATTGTGGTTTAATAAAGCAAAATGGACTCTATCAAAGCACGTAAAATGCCCAGTTATATAAAAATCAATTCTTTTTTTTATTAAAATATAACAAGACAGTCGGGAACAGATTAAAAGAAAAAATACTTGGAGCATTATGTAAGAACATTAAATTCCATATTTTGGCAGTGATTGAAGATTATAGAAATAGATTATATCTATTTCATTTTGTCTGGCATATTTTTATGCCAGATCACCTCTCCATTATTATAACTTCTCTTTGGGATATTATTGAGCTATGCTTGTTGATTCCAAATAATACAGTTTTTGGGAAATATTTTTTATCTCAAGCAATTTTAATACTGTGGGATTCTGAAAGTTTACATACTAATATTACGGCATATAAAAGAAGTGGCAGGTGCTATCTAATTTTTTTCTTTCTTCAGTGAAGCCCTATTACTTAGGCCAGGATCGGCCATTAGTATTTGCAGAACAATTGAATAATGTAGATTAGCTAAAATGAACTGAATTAAATGAACTTGTGAATGAGGTTTTTATTTGTTTGGGGGCCACACCTGGCAGTGGCAGTGGTTGCCCCTTGTGATATTTTAGGATCCTGTCGTGCTGGGAATCAGACTCAGGCCTGCAGGATACAAAGCAAATGCTCCAACCCAGAGAACGCCCTCTCCCAGACCCTCATGAGATTTCTGTTGTTCATATTGTTGTTATATTTAATATCGCGATTGTTACTATGGGCTGGAGCGATAGCACAACGGGCAGGGCATTTGCCTTGCACGCGGCCAACCCAAGTTCGATTCTTTCATCCCTCTCGGAGAGCCCAGCAAGCTCCCGAGAGTATCCCGTCTGCATGGCAGAGCCTGGCAAGCTCCCCATGACATATTCGATATGCCAAAAACAGTAACGACAAAAGTCTCACAATGGAGACTTTACTGGTGCCCGCTCGAGGAAATTAATGAACAGTGGGAGGATAGTGCTACAGTGCATTGTTACTATAATTATCATTATTATAATTATGATGATAATTAACTATTGGGATTTGGTTAAAAAACTACTTTTTGGGACCAGGGAGATCATCGAATAGATGGAAAAAGGCTTTGCTTATGGGAGAACCATTACCAGTGGTGCATGGTTTCCTGAGCATTGCCAGGGAGAAATCCCTTGTACCCAGCCAGGAATAACCTCTGAGGATTTCTGAGAGAGGACCAAAAACAAACAAACAAGCAAAAGTACTTTTTTAGATGCAGTGTTAGAAATTCATGTACATTTCCATTGTCATTGAAATGGATTGTCTACCGCCATACCACCCTGAACGCGCCCGAAATGGATTGCATTCTTAAATAGTCAATATTTGTATTGTGTTTTTCATTCCCTCATAAATGACGTGATTTACAAATTTTGTATTTTGAATTTGCACAATATTAAAGCAGAGATGTGCTTTAGAAAAGGATTTTGCCACACCCAGCTGGCTCAGGGCCTGCTCCTGGCTCTGTCCTCAGGGATCTCTCCTGGTGGACTCGTGACCGTCTTTGCTGTGGTGCTAGGGATCAAACCCCGCTCGGCAGCTGCCGGGCAAGCGCTTTCTCCACTGCATTATCTCTGTGGCCCCTAGAAATTCAACCGAGAACAAACCCCATGAAGGATAGGAAAGAACTCATAGTGTTTAACAGTTTAGTCCGTTCACAGTCCTTAATAGCCCATTTAACAGAAAAATCAAATTATCGGTTCTGAACTTTATTGTGGTCAATATAGCCAGTTGGTATGTATCAGTGTTTTTCTTTAACTATGTTACTATAGGTATGTATTGTAATCTATTTTTGAGCTTTACTTATATTTTATTTCTAAAATTCTAGGTTTTCTCCATCTCTTATATCTTCTAGAGACCATTACATATACTGGCATTTCTTTCTTTCTTTCTTTCTTTCTTTCTTTCTTTCTTTCTTTCTTTCTTCCTTCCTTCCTTCCTTCCTTCCTTCCTTCCTTCCTTCCTTTCTTTCTTTCTTTCTTTCTTTCTTTCTTTCTTTCTTTCTTTTTTCTTTCGTCACACTGGCAATACGCAGAGGTTACTCCTGGCTCTGCATTCAGGAGTCATGCCTCGTAGTGCTCTGGGAACACTATGGGATGTAGAGGATCAAACCCAGGTCAGCCACGGTCACGGTCATGGTCCTCCCGTTGTTCATCGATTTTCTTGAGCGGGCCCAGTAACGTCTCCATCATGAGACTTGTTGTTACTGTGTTTGGCATATCGAGTACGTCACGGGTAGCTTGCCAGGCTCTGCCGTGCAGGCGAGATACTCTCGGTAGCTTGCCGGGCTCTCTGAGAGGGACGGGCACCCACATGCAAGGAAAATGGTTGACCCACTGTACTATCACTCCAGCACCCTGGCATTTATTTCTATGTAAATGATATGTAATTACCTAAAGATGTAGGGTTTCATATATATTGCTTTTTTCACATCTGAAAGAACTGTTAAAACTCAGAGCAGAGTTGATTTCCTGAAAGCTAATTTGATCCCTTCTTGAAGGCTTGGCTTATTTGCATCCATAACTAAACCTTGGAAGGTTTTGATGAAATATTTTCTTAAGTCCGTCTCAAGGACACTTAATGCTTAGCAGCACGTTTGGACTGTTTGTCAGTAGTACGTAATGCTGCTCTTCACTATGACATTTAGATGGCATGTGACCACAATTTAAAATTTGGTTTTGGGCAAGTTAATTAATTGGTCATGCCATCCCTTGTTGTAATTAGGTAATAAATCCTAAAGTTCACAAATATTTTTTTTTGTGAGGCCAGGTGAAGGTTTAACAAAAGCCACTGGAGGCTACGTTGCTGGTTATTATTTATTATGTGTGTGTGTGTGTGTGTGTGTGTGTGTGTGTGTGTGTGTATCCCCTGTGGGAATTTATTAGGTCTCTGAATAAAGCCAATCACTTGTCCAACCCTAGCTGCACTTCCAGGCTTTGTGTATTTGTAGTAGAAATGTGATAGCCTTAAGAAAAAAAGTTGTAGAGTTGTTGGAGCTTGCAGATTGTAAAGAACCCACATTGCATTAACCACTAATAAAAACTGAAATTTCTCTTTGGAATACTAACTTCAGTTAACCACTAAACAAGAACTTCTTTGGAAACTTGGCAAGATGAGGCACATCTGGGGCCAGAAAGATCGAACAACAGGCAGGGTACTTACCTTACATGCGGCTGACTCGGGTTTGGGGGATCCTCCCAGGAGGGGAGATGCATGTTGAAAGTAGACTATGGACTAAACATGTTTGCCACTCAATGTCTCTTTTGCAGACCACAACACCCAAAAGGAGAGAGAGAACAAAAGGGAATGCCCTGCCACAGAGGCAGGGTGGGATGGGGGCGGGGGTGGTGGGAGGGATATTATCCATGGTGGTGGAAAATGGGCACGGTGGAGGGATGTGTATTTGATCTTGGTATAACCGAAACCCAAGCACAAAATTTGCAAATCTACAACTGTACCTCATGGTGTTTCACTAATAAAAAAAAAAAGAATAAATAAAATCACACTATCTCGCAACACACACACATACACAAACAAAACCCAAAATCCCGTATCTGTTTCAGATGTACTTAAGCAATTTGTAAAATGGGCTTTATAATATCTATTGTTTCCCATTTCCCACCTCCCTTTTTTTGAATGCCAGGGCTAGAACCAAGCACCTCAGACATGCAAAGCGTGTGGTCATAATAATGAACCACATTCCTGGCCCACTAGTAAATCAAAAGATTTTG